ATGATGAAACAAAGAAATGATTCTAAGTGAGTTAGAACCAGCAGTTACCTCGGAACCGCAACTCTGAGTGTCAACTAGATTTTGAGACAGAAAGATCTATCAAGAACATCATACGAATATTGTTGTTTTGGTTCTATTCGCAACTTCATCCTATCTGCATAAAACTTCGAACATCTAATGGTTATCGCTCCGTTATGGACCATATTGATAATGAAAAAGAATAGTTTCGTTTGCAAATCAGGAGTATCATTTTCCAATTGGTTATTATTTTTATTCTCATTATTCCCCCAGGATACGTGACGAGCGGTTGTTCAGCTTTTCATTTTTCACGCAAAGTGTTGTTTCGATCCGTTGTTCTTGAACGCTTCAAAATTGTTGCAGTCGTGTCCAGATGCGCTCATGTAGATGGATACATATGCATTACATCAAACCAATGATTTTTTCTCCTTATTCTCTAATTTTTGTAGTTTGGTTCAGAACAATATTCCGATGGCACCGTTCACTGAACACACTTAACAGTTCCGTGATGTACGGAGAAAGGAATCTGTAGCTTCCGGATTTTCTCAATTTTGTCAGTCTTCAGTCAGGTTAATTCTGATTTGATAAGCTGTCTATGATGAAACAAAGAAATGATTCTAAGTGAGTTAGAACCAGCAGCTACCTCGGAACCGCAACTCTGAGTGTCAACTAGATTTTGAGAACGAACTTTTGGAAAAAAACTCTTTGTGTCTTTTTTTCTCTGTTTGTTATCGGAACTTCCGTACATGGAGCAAGTACTATTCGTAATTCATATCTTCTCTAGTTTGAATAGAATCTGGAACAGAAATGAGAGAGAGAGAGAGAGAGTGTTTGATAAGGAACGGCAATAAGCATAAAGGGATACAAATATATGGAGCAAACGGAAACTCTTGGTGCATTTTCAACAGTTCATGACTAATAAGGAACTTCACTTAAAAAAGGATAATAAAGATAAATCGAAAAGATAACACTCTAAGAACGACAGCACAGAAAAATGCAAATAATTCAAGCACGTGATCGAATTAATTTCAAAACTGCTTTTGATGGCCTCATATTTCTCGACAAACCAAAGGATTAATAGATGATCAGCAGCTTATCAAGCTCCGGTCAAATCTTTTATCAGTAAACTTAAAGACTTATTCAAGCACTATATTAAGGCAATGAATTGAACAATTGTTCATTTATAAGTTCAAGACTTACAGCTCTTACTTTTCAATTATCCAGAATATTCGAACTTTTTAGGTAAGATGCGCAGCTTGATACCATTGCTGGCCATTCTGACCACATCGTGTGCTTTCCGTATTCAGCTAACTGAACAAGATGCAGTTGCTGGATATACTGATGCGATTGCCAGAAATAAATTTTTACCCTTAGCCGCCGCAGCCTACTCTGGTGTTCCTGGAAACTGTTTGGCCAATGCTTTCCAAAATGCTAAAGTAAAAATTAAAATCACAAAACGAACACCTGATCTATTTTTTCAGCTTAAACGACAACTGAATGTCAAATGTGATCTTTTCCATAGCGATACATGTTCTGGTTATACAGCTCTCTTGAATGGTGATCAAGCTATTGTACTTTCTTTCCGTGGTACTGACGCTTTCCTCCAACTTATCACCGAATCTAATGAAAGCATCTTCGAAGCAAAGGTGGGATACCGAAATCACTAGTAGATTCAAACTTTGCGAATATTAGATTGATTGGCCAGCAGGAGGAAAAGTTTCAAAATACTTCTACAATGCATTCTGGTCTGTTTGGACTGGTGGAATGAAGGATGATTTCTTAGCTTTGAGAAATGCTTACCCTACTTACAAAGTTTGGGTAAGATAATGAAATGATTATATTTCATTAACATTTGAAAAACACAGGTGGCTGGCCACTCTTTGGGAGGATCCATGGCTTCATTAGCTGCAAGTTACATTGTTTCCCAAAAACTTGCTGATCCCAACAATGTAACCCTGTATACTTTTGGACAACCCAGAACTGGAGATAAAAACTGGGCTTCTGCTCATGACAACCAAGTAAATTTTTCTGTTCTTAGTAGTTTTAACAACAATTTTGAAGCAATTCACTTCATATCGTGTCACTCATTGGAGAGACATGGTTCCTCATGTACCTCCTGTTGGTATGGAAAGCTATGCCCATCACAAAACTGAAGTCTTTTACCACAGTGGAATGAAGAGCGGATCTAAGTTCAAGATTTGCAACGGTTTGAAAGTTTCGTTTAACCTAATAAGCATATGATCAAAATGCAGCTGACGAAGACTACACTTGTTCTGATGGATTGACTTTCACAATGAGCATCAGCGACCACTTGCATTACTTCGAGAAAGATGTCTCCGACTTTGGAGCTAGGGGTTGTAAATAATAACGATATCCTATTAGTTATAATAATGAAAATAATAAAAAATTTGCTGTACTGTTACGAACATTGATCCGGAATTATTTTGAAGGAAAGATTAGCCAAACATGGACAGCTGAATAAAAAGTGACAGCGGACTTCACTCTGAATGAACACTTTAAAGTTTCATACTCGCATGACCGAAGTGAGTACAGGAGGTGTGGTTTGACCAGCAGGAAACGAAGAATGAACCATAACAGGTATTTGCGTTTCTGCAAAAAAACTTCAGCCGAAACCTTTTTCGAATGAAAAGAGAATGGCTCAGTTCCCGCTCGTTCTCATTAAGCTTGTCCTTTCGAATCGAAGAGATTCTATAAGCATTTCTTTCAAGCTTGCAGTATTTGTGACAAATGAAGAAATATCTAAAAGTTTGCTCTATTTTGAAATTTGAATGAGTCATTTTATCGATTTTCTGCTTTTTAAAATGCCACAAAACAATATTACAATGTTTTTTGTTTCTCCGCCCATATTAGAACTGTTGTTGTTTGCTAGTTATTGTGAGAGTAAACTACGTGTAAGGTCTAATGCTAGAGAACTTTTGTGAGAGCAACTGGTGGTTTGGTATCGAACGCACACCAGATTTCTGATTTTCATTGATTCATATTTTCCAATAGTTCCAACCTTAACAAAAACATTCTAATGAGTTGTGAGAGATTTGTCACCTTTCAGTAATAACATTTCGAGTATAAAATGAATAAATCATATCTCTACATTTTTTCGTTGACGTAAAAGGGAAGAAACTCATTTTTGAAAAAATCGCCATGTGATTCTCCTTTGTTCGAACTTTTCCTCTCACGTGCTGTGGTCTGATTTTTGATTTGCCCGATCAATCTTTTCTCAAAAAAAATGTTGGATGTTTGTTGCAGTGAATGAGTGGCTAAAGGTTCATGCCATTCATTTCTTTTTAGCCTTATTTGCTCTCTACATTCTATAAATCATTCAAGATATTATTTTGAAATCATATGCCGCTTTTAACGAACACGAGGAAAAAGCGCAATGCTCACCTATGGCGATATGTTAATCCGCGTTAATCTCCACATATTTCTATTTTTAGTCATATTCTTGAAGCGATCGTTGAGTTCTCAAGAACTCGGCAAACCAAACTTTCTTTAAATGTTCATGAAACTTTATGATAGTGGGATCTGCTTCAAGCGTTTCAATTAATTAAATACTCTTTAACCACCAGAGCGTCCTTCGATCGCACTTTTGCTTGAAAAAATAATTTTCGAATAGGTTTCGTTAATCAATTTTCATATTTTCTTCTTTAATCTTATCACGGGTTCTCAAATTTATCAGAGCAATAATTTAAGTTACTAGAAATCTCTATGTTTGCACAAACTCGTTTCAGCTTTTTTCTTTTGCTTTCTCCTCTTCTCGATAACCCAATGTTGTTGCTCTACCCCTGCGTCTATCGAGTCTTTATGTCTCCCTTTTTACAATTATACTTCGCTCTTTCTATAGGCTAGTTCTCGTTTCTCTACTATTTCTTCATCTCTCTTGTTTCCCCATCACTCTAACTATCTCTCTCTGTATGTATGTATGTCGGTCTATGTGTGTCTATGTCAAATGAGGAGACTTGTCTCCTGTATTGGACGACGGCAAACGAGGAAAAAATGCGATGGTCGCACAGTTTGTCCGTTGACTCGAAGGATCGAAGTCGAAATAAGAACACTATAGAAGGAGAGCCGTATCGTCGCGATTCAGTCTGTCGTCCGACTCTTATTTCTTCTAATTGTGTTTGTTTCAACAGCCATGTTGAAGCAAGAGTTTCTCAAGAACCTTGGCTGTTTTTCCACTTTTTCTAACTTCAATACAAGCACATGTCATTCTCATTCTTATCTTTTTTAAATGAATGTAATTATCGCAGACTTACAAAGGGGGAAAACCCATGGAAACGTAAGAACCGTAGAACTCTTGTATCACTTCTCCGCATTATCATTTGTCCCTTTCACCTCTCAAATTAAATAATTCTTAGCAATCACAGTTATCATCTTCTTTAGTTTCTGGGACTAGTTGTAACTGCGTTAATCATCTTTTGCCTCCCCCTCAGCTGAGTTTTTCCTTTGTTTTTTATTTTTTCTTTCAAACTGTTTCGCTCATGATCCTGTAACATGTGTCGTTTAAGATTTCTTTCTTTTTCATTTTCAACACTTTGCAGATATTTAATAAATAAAATGGACGACAATATAAATGAGGCTTTATCACAGCTTCTACACGAGAAGGGGATTGAATATCCCGGGGAAAGAATGGTAGAAGATAGTACAACAGTTCAGGTAACCAATTGTTTTCCTTTGTGTATTAAGTTAATAACTTAGGTTATCAACCCAGCAGCGAGAAAAACAGGAGAGAGTATGGAAGTTTTCGTCTCCAGAAAGACTACCATGATTTCTCAACCTAATTCAGATGATGAAGACTACGGTTCGAGACTCTTTTTTGTTTGTGTTAATTTCTTCTATCTGCAGGGGCTTCTGACTCGGAGCTATTTTGTCGCTCTCGTTCAGCTTCTTTCCACGGTCGTGCAGGCATGTTTTTCGTTTTGTTGCAGTTTTAACTTAGCTTTTAAGGAAGTGAAGATGAACGTCCACGACACACAACGTTGAGGTATCGTCGTCGTAAAGGAGGTCAATGGCTACAAGTCGAGGACAGCAACACTGAGGTAGCGAAAGAGGGCGAAGATGAGCTCCAAGTTGAACTCAAAGAAGAATGCTCAGAAGATACAGGTGTTGTAACTAAGGTATTATAACTGTTTTTTTACGAGAAGCAGAACTTGCTCAATTTCAGACTTACCAAGCTAGGTGGAGAGTTCTGAAGTATGAAAATCTTCCTGAATGGCTACAAGACAATGAGTTTCTGAGGTGATCGTTGCTAGTTTTAGAATATTTTAAAGGAAATATTTTTAAAGACACGGTCATCGTCCTCCGCTCCCATCTTTTGCTGAGTGCTTTAAAAGTATTTGGGCACTGCATACAGAAACAGGCAATATTTGGACACATCTAATTGGTATGTTGTACTTTTTTTCGCTATACAACACCATGTCGCTTCATCAGTTTCTTTTTTTGTCATTTTCAAGATGGGTCATGCCATTGAACCTTGATATGACTTATCTGGGCGAAAGAGAGAGAGAGAGAGAAACTAACTATACTGATTATCAAAACAGTGATCTTCGAGTCACATTATGATGTATTCTAGATTTCTATTCATAAAAAATGAGTTCTGAGAACCTCTATCTTTCGTTTTTTAACAAAATTGGTTTCTGCTCAAATATGCACATATCCAAAATCGAGTTGGGAGTACACATTAGAAGAAACGACAAGTGATAGAGAGATTAACCTTAATCATGTTAGTTCTATCGATAACTATTTCTGTTTTTGACAAAAAAAATATGGTAGAATTGTATTTCCTGAGTTTCTCCACTCCCAGAGGGTTGTTGTACTGAAGGTAAACATCATTTTATTCTTTAACTGAGTACTAGTAAAGGGGTTCTAAAATGCAATTCTCTACTTAGTCATAAAAGAACTGATAAGGTTATCTTCTAATCTGAAAAAGAACTTTTTTCTTTAAAATTTAGTGGCAACAGCGTTAAGAATAAGTTTTTCTCTCACATGTCGTTCGTCACATGGCTAAAATTACTGATTGTGTAAAGTCCTGAAACATTGCAGACTATTCTGGACAGAAGAGATAGGGGTTGATGATTGTGAATTCGTATAATTGAACGAAAAAAATAGCTAAACTTTACAGGTTGTGTTGCATTCTTCTGTTTGGCAGTGTGGTTCCTCTCTCGACCGGATAATCACATCCAATTTCAAGAAAAAGTAGGGATTTCATTTTTAACTCTTCAACTCTAGAAACATGGATTTCAGGTTGTTTTCTCTTTCTTTTTTGCCGGAGCTGTTCTCTGTTTGGGGTTATCCTTCGTGTTCCATACATTGTCATGTCATTCAGTAGATATAGTCAAAATATTCTGCAAGTAGAGTTGTTCTCTGGTTTGCCATCAACATTTTTGTTTTTGTAGATTAGATTATATGGGTATCTCAATGCTGATTGTTGGCTCATTCATCCCCTGGATTTATTATGGATTCTATTGTCGACGAGAGCCTAAAATAACCTATATTCTGATGGTTTGCGTTCTCGGAGCAGGTAAATTGGAATACTATGAGTTTTATTGAAGTTTATTTGTTAGGTGCTATCATCGTTTCACTTTGGGATAAGTTCAGTGAGTCTCGGTTCCGTCCATACAGGGCTGCAGTCTTTGTGGGAATGGGGCTTAGTGGTGAATCGCTTGTTTCAATACATTATCTTTACCATCAAGTTACAGGAGCCATTCCAACCGCACACTACATATACACAGATGGAGTTCGATCCTTATTTGAAGATAATGCTTTCCATTGGTTACTACTTATGGCTTTCCTTTATCTTCTCGGAGCTCTCTTGTATGCGACTCGTACGCCTGAAAGATTTTTCCCCGGAAAGTGCGACATTTGGGTTCGTATAAAGACTAGATACAGTTACGATAAATTTAATTTCAGTTCCAATCTCATCAGCTTTTCCATACTTGTGTGGTTATTGCAGCTTTTGTCCATTATTATGGTATAAGTGAAATGGCCATGCTTCGTTTGAATGCTCAATGTCCACCAGAGATCCCTGTTGGTCATACTGAACTATAATGTATAATAGATATTTCCGAAAAACTTCTTTTTAGTGATTGTTTTCTGAAGTTGTAATCTTTCCATCAGTTTTATAAGCTTTCGATTTTCCCACACGTTTTTGAGGTGGAAAGATACGTGAATAGGTTTTTATTTAAATTCCTAGTCATTTTCTAAATTAATGAGCGAACTCATTAATTTTTATCTAACTCTCCGGTTATTGCCTCGTTGTACAAAGGATATTACTTTTTATAGTTGGGAAAAGCGTTTAGTTCTCATAGTGGCTACCTTTCTTCCTACCAGCACCCGTTGTTTTTTCACTTCTCATTCATTTTTGCTTGTTTTTTTGGCTAAGATGAACTGTCTATTCAGGGTTTTCATTTATATTCCATTCCTCGCTGATAGTTTTCATCCCAGTAATTCCCGTAGTTCTCTCGTTGCCAACTCTGGCTGCACAAGGATTGCTTTAAGAGTGTTCGTTGCATGGAACCGTATATGATACTAGCCTAGTTTGACTGTGGCATTGTACAGTTTCCGCTGCTGTGTCAACCTGAAATAAGCGTTGTTTTGTTGAACCTTTCATCAATAATAAAATATTTCTATCCCTATAACACTTTTCCATATTCATGTAGGAACTGTAGCCACTAAACCCAGAAAACTCATTGTGAGTATCCAGGATTGAGGACCTCATTGGCTCATGAGACTAGCCCTTAAGGCGTTTGCCCAGGGAGAGCAATTTCTTCTTCTTATTCATTCAGCTCTGGATAATTACTCCGAGATCGACACCACATGTCTCTCATAAGGAAATTTCACAATATGTTTACTTATTGCTGACCTTTTTCTTCGAAAATTCACCGTTTTAGATTTTTGGTATGTAATGTGATTTCAAAACAAATACAAATCAAATACAAAACTACTTCAACGGATCGACAGCTAGCTAGAGCTGTAACCAGCCTTAATGATGTCGCTGATTTGAATACGAGTTGGAAATTAGTGGATTAGAGTTTGTTTTTAGTGACTTCTGCTTCTTCATATCCTTTCAGTCCATATGGTCATGAGATTTCTCTTCTTCCTTCTAAGCTTAGAAAAAAGTGATAAGTTGTAGCAATGCAACAGCTCTGTGCGTAAGCTTTCAAACTTCAACCTTAATTCAAAACTATTAAACGCACTTAAACGATGTGTCATTTGCCTTTGAAAGAGAGTGAAGAGAGAGAGAGAGTAAACTGATTTACATACCACCATCTCTCTATCTTCTGTGACAGAGAAAATTGGGGGGAGGAGAGTGAGGGAAATAGGAAGTCACTGAAAGCTGGAAGAGAAAGAGAATGACAGAGAAGAGCATGACCATCGCCACCGGCAGAGGATTAGTACCAACTATTGCCTTGCTGTTCTCTGCTTTCCGCTGTTGTCCTGCTATTTATTCCTGACTGCTGATTGCTGTATGCAGTTTAAACGTCAGATGTCCTTATTTAGTTACAAACTCAGCTGGCATTCACAAAAAGTGACGCAACTAGGAATACCTTGGTTATACATTCATAGCATTACTCTTTGAGCAATTACATTTTGCAACCTGACGCTTAATAAAACATTAGTCAACTGGAAAGCAAATGACTAAACCTCACATACTGAACCATCGGCTCTTCCTTATTTTAAATTCCATATTCTGTCCTCATTTTCTGGAATCATACTGATTTGAAGCAGCTTTGTCCACTAAACGTATTACTCAATCACCAGCATCCTATTTTCCACAATTTGAGGCAAAATTCAACTTAGCTGATTTTTTGGAATTCCTTGATAGTTGTGATTTCCGAAAATTTTTGAGACGTTATGTGATGCTCTCCGGAACTTCCAAGTTCGCTTTTTTTGTTTTTCTTCCAGTATGAGAACGATATGTGTCTGACTCAACGGGTTTAGCCGACAAAATCCTTTAATATCTTGATCTCTTAATTAGTGAAAATAATTCAAACAAAACTGCTTACATCAAATACTTTTACGACCTCTCATAAATCTGTCAAACGCTTATTTTAACTCCCACACGGATTATTTCAAAGCTGTAACCTCATTTATCATACTTTCACCTCCCTCTCATGAGTAATAGTTGAAGAACAGCCACTACTAACAATATTGAAAGTAGAAAGTGTTTAACTCACGTGGCTTCCCAGACGAATGTGCACGTGAACTATGCATATCTGATGTTGTTGTTTCAATGATCAGAATAGCCCTAATTCGAGACGTATGCATAACAGATTTATATTTGTTGGCATAGTTAGCCATAAGAATAATAATTTCCATAATTGAAGAATTAGGTCACACCATGCAGCCAATACGGCTCTTCCTAAACGCGCTTGAAAAAGCTGCCTTAAGAGATATTGTGAATGGCAGAGAAACGTGTGGATAAGAAGAGACTCAGAGAAAAACTGTTGAATCACAATATCTGTGAGAATGACAGAAACGAGCAAATTTCTGGACGAGATTGGCCATCTGTCATTACTTGGTTCTTGAAGAACATGGAAGACATTGCACAGAGAAACTGATCGTCATCTCAGTATACATTAGAAGAGTATTTTTGAGCATCCTCATTTTTTTTCTAAACATTAATTTCCATCATTTCAGTAACCTTTTACCCCACCATGCCTATGTTCTCTAATTATATTTGCGTGATCACATCCAATAAACTATATCCCTCTGCTGGTTAATATGCACCTTCTGCCCATGTTGGAATGGCATATGCGGTTAAACCTAAGACTGAAAACCAGCGATCCGTAAAATGCGCGAACCTAACTCATATATTAGCCAATACTCAACTAACCTTATTAGTTTTATCATCCAATGTTTCCGTTACCTGTACTCTTTATGTTCTTCCAATGCTAACTATTTCAATTGCAGGCTCTTCGTAACACCAGGAAAAACTGGAAGAACTGATTTTAAGAAATACAGACAATGGTCAGAGGTGTTGAGAAATCGACGTAATCGAATAATGTTATATAAGAGGTGACTTTAGACTCTTTTTGATGATGAGATAGATAAGCGCAAAACTAACTGAACACCATAAAAACATTTCATTGAGCTACATTTGCTTTTGAGCGATCCATCATAGCATATCACCTCTACTAGAAAGACTTGTATAGTCCCAGAGAATCATCTGAGAATCATATGCCGCCAATAAATATTGAACAGAATCTGCCAACTAACTTCTTACAATTTATCGCATCTCGGTTGTTATCATCTCTCTCCTCTCTTCCCATCTCAGACGTAGCTGTTGTTTCTTGTAACGCTCTTACTCTCACTTTCGAACAATCATTTCGCGACTCTTTGCATTATTTATCTCACAACAAACTTCTGCATCGACCAATGGGAATAAGGTATTACTTTTTTGATATGTTTTCGCAAATTCTAAACTTTATCAAAAAATATGATCAATCACTTAAGCACTTGTATAAACAACTCCTTTCATCACTTTTCATAGCTTCTCGGTATGAGAGAATGATAGAAAAAACCTGTAGATTCGCGTAAAACATGTTTTACTTTCTAAGAAAACTGTGCCACGACCGCCTCTCACGCCTCGGTCAGTTAGAAATATCACCATCACTCATTGCGACCTCAAATTGAAATTAAGCTTTGCTTGTCAACAACATCATGTTGACATGTGATTCTATTCTCCTGCTCGTTTTGCCTTTCATTTTGAGCCCTTTCCGTAATTCCAGTGTATTGAGGCGCTTGAAAATTCTTTTTTTCATTCGTCATGATGTGCTTATAAAGAAATTCATTATCTCGCTTTACGACATGAATTGTGTAACACAGCCATAAATTGCTTCCCAAACTCTCGCTACATAAAATTTCTTCTTTAATTCCAACATATCATTTCCAATGGCTGTGCTTTGGAGAAAATGGTAGGGAGTTTCTGAACATTTGTTTAGTCATCACCTCTTTTATGGTTCTTATCCACTTTGTTTCCACAAACCACTTGTAACATAGAAATCAGCCTCGACGAAGATGATTTTCTTGTTGCAAATCAAATTTCCTTTCTTGAAAATGAGTGTCAAGCTTTATAGCTTTTCTTTCTGTGACAAGTTCGTGACCTTGTTAAAATTACCCACCCCTCTTCTTCTCATCTGAGAGCCTTATTGATTCTGTTTTCTTGAAATAATTTACATTCAACATCTACTAACATCCGTGACATGAGGTTCTGGCTGTAAGTTTAAACACATTTCTAGAAGTTCTAGAAACATTTCATTCTCTATTCCCCCACATGCCACAAAACAATCACAATCATATCATTTCTCCTGAACCTGCAGTCAAAAAGTTGTTGAACAAACCCTTTAGTCATCGTTTAAGGCGACAAAAAAGGATGTCTCCAGGACTCTCTCGTCTTTATGAACTTCAACCTGATCCTTATGATGTGTCTCAGAAGAAGCCGGTTCGCATATGTTTATTTACTGAAGTTAAAAATGCGGTAAACAAGTTAAATAGTTCCCTGTTTTACGCTTTGTTTGTTTCAGCCCCTCCTGAGGGTCCAATTAAAAGAAGGAAAAATCGATGCTGCTATGATTAGAGCTGAACTGGTATAAAAAACTATTGGAATTACAATTTAGTTACAATATTCAGATTTTGGAACCGTTCATTCTGTTAGCTGCGGCCAATAGAGCTGTTCATCAAATGGCTCACAATCGTCTTTCGACTAGGAGTTTATCGGCTGAAATGATATACAGCTTGAGTCCGAGTAGAAATGTGAGCAAGATAATCTGATTATAAATGAGAGTGGGAAAACGTTTCAGATTTCTGATTCCTTAGTCACTTTCGGAATCGCTGAGAACAGCGAAAATATAGTTGTTTGTATATTCGACGATAAAGATGGAAGCAAGATGAAGGTGCTACCTCTTTTTTAAATCTCAAACACATCTTCAACTTTTCAGTCTGTTGCCGAGAAAATAGAAGGAAAGCCTCAGAATCTAGATCTTCTTCCTAGTATTGCCAATATGGCCCTTATTAAAAGAGTATATCAGATTAATGATTTGCGCTATAAGGAAGAATCCATATCGGATCACATCCTGACCAGATTAGTCACTAAAGATTTCACATCTTGAAGTAGTAGCAGGAGCATTTTCTCTTGTGATCTTCAAGCATTAGAAGATGGTTGTACATTCTTATCAAACATCTTCGAGTTTATAGAAGCGCTTTGTTGTCACTTATCTCCTATAGTTCTCCATGACATATTGAAAATCGTTTTTTTAAAATACCATGTTCCAATACTGCATCTCGCAAGTTCCGTATTGACCTTCAGTGCTTTAAGTAGTTTGTTACCTTTACTGAGAAATTTCGATCCTTAAAGTTTATCAGATCTTAATAAATTTTCAACTTAGATACATTTGATTAGTTTAGTGAGCAAAAAGTTGGCATAGTTATTACAGAATCGTCGTCTAAAAACAAGAACATCGTTGAAGAATTGTCAGAGAAAACCTTGCTTGAAACTTTCGTAATCGTTAAGTCCATTCAAGGAAGGAAATCTCTTGGAGGTTATTGTTGCAAATAATCGTGATTATGTTACAGAGAAAATAACTGAAATACTATTAAGATATATACAAGACAGAATTCTTAGAAAAATCTGTAAAGAACTAATAAAGATCCCACAATTGATAGGTTGAGCCCATTGCTGGAATTGCATAAATCGCCTGTACAGCAGCATCGCTTGGCATGTCCCGGTCCTTCACAACCTGTTTCCTACAATTCAGAAAATGAAACAAGACGCACAAAAGCTGATGAGAGCATTAAGCCGATTAGGCGTTTGTTCAAAAGTTTAAGAGAGAAAGATAGTAGATAGGTAGCATTAAAATGTGAACTATAGCTGTTAAAAGAGACCGACAGTGAAAAGATTTTTTCAAATATCTCAGCGATATCTTACAATAAGTAAACATCAACACGTGAGCTTATCTCACAGTTGAGCCGAATGCTCAGATTGCTAGGCAAACAGAGTTGTTTGTAGAGTTTTTTCCTGGCAAATCTTTGATGAAATCAAAATAGACTAGAGATTTTTGAACATCTTATGTCATTGAAAATGAATAATACACTTACAAAGCATTTTCCAGGTTCTCCGCAACTTTTGGTTATGGTATGACTGTTATCTCCATTTGTGTTTCTGCTGACATAACTCTGGAAACAGAAGTCCGAGGTAGGGCAGTTCACTTAAACAATGATAATAAGATCGAGAGATAGAACGTTGAATACTTTCTTGGAATGGTTGATTAGAAGTAGGTACTATCTGGTTTCCAATTGTCTGTTGACCGAAGAAGCATCTGATGGCTGCTGAAGCCGAAATGAGCGCAACAAGAACAACAATTGAAATTCGGAGCATTCTGAATAGAAATTCTTAAACTGCAAAAGCAACACATGAGCGGAAATTTATCACATGAAAATAGCGACCGTTCAGTCGTATTGGAACGACAAAAATGAAGTTGCACATGGCACGTGAGCTGTACGAAGCTGATTTTCAAAAAACTGTGCAAAGCAATGGGAATTATGAGGAGAACACTGAACCTGACAAAGAGCTTAGAACGAAAGAAAAAGAACATACATATGCCAACTACGAATGACGCCTTCTTACGCAGAATCTCCTCCTCCTTCTTCTTCAGTGAGCAATCGGAATCTAAAGCGTGAGGTTCAAGCGAGACCGGTTGAGCTGTAAAATAAATATTCTTCGATGTAGCTAGTTCTGGCATCTTCGTAGTTCCCATCATCATCTTCAACAACCACGTATACACGAGTGGAGGAAACTGAAAACGGGACACCGATTTCGGTAAATTAACAGACTGCCCTAAGGCAGACTGGAAAGCTCGAGCGGTCCAAGGCGAATCAACGGTAAGTTTGATAGAGCATCAGTACTTCATCTAATCAAGCTGTGGAGGCTGCTTTATATATAGAGAATCCAACACAATAGGGTACAAGATTTTATTTCGCTTTACGCAAGAAGGGCAAGGAGTCCTTGACAAAAGGGCTCATCACAGATGAAGGGAAATGCGCAACTTTAAAGCTACAATATTTAGCGAGAAACAATCAATAAACGAAAACAAAAGTTGAAGAAGGAACTTTACCAAGTTGTTTCCGGAATCGAATACAAAAGCCCGAAATTTTACAAGAAAAAACAAAAAACTAACAGACCGGACGTATGGAAAAAATCCTTAGAAGTGAACTAAATTGGGAAATCGTTGAACCTAGATGCGAACTCTATACTTGGACGAAGTTTAATACTACTCGTATGCGAATATGTTTTAAGGCCGTGTGCTGCTCATCAAAACTATCAGATAATTTATCTGAGGAAAAAAAGATAAGCTGAGCTCCAGCAGTGGAAACGTTGTTTTGGCAACATTAGTGGAGTTAACAAGTAACTGAATCTTAGCAGGGCAATGGTAAGTAACTTGATCTGGAGAAGATTGAGGAAATCTTGGGGATAGAGTTCAACAAAACTAGGTCCGACCTGTTTCGTGTGATCTTTACGAAAAAAAGTGGAGAGTGAAGCGTAACAAGAAGATCAAAATGAAACAGATCTGAAAACTGTAAAAATTCAGTTCGTTAATCATTCCCTGTTTAGATATAAATATGACTTTGCTTATATAATAAAAGGATTGGGAGAGGAACCGCAATAATATGAGCCATCAATATAACCAGATTACACCAAAATAACAAATTGGGATGAGCTACAACTGAAGGAACATCACTTACTTAACATCGATGAAACTACATTCATAATCTTGCAATTTTTTATAACAGACCACACTTTGTTGGATGATATCGCATTTGATACAGAACTTTTCTGCTTTGTACTTGATCGCTTCAGATTTATCTTTAAAGAATAAAAGACTAATACTTGTCCAGAAATAAGAACTTACTTTTAACTTGCCGCGCTGCCCAGCTCTTCTGGACCTCGTGGAGCAGGCGGCTCGTCCGGAAAATCTGAACAAGACGCACTTCAATGAAAAAATTGAAAAAAAAATCTAACCCGGCACGTCTAAATCACTGTCCGATTCATAGCTTTCATCTAGTACTTTCGGTGGGTAGGTAACATAAGCTTGAGCTGGCTCACACTGGGAATTGACAGAGTTGTCTTCTTCATAGCAGTTATCACTTACTTTGATCGGTTTGAATGGCTCAGGGATACCTAACTGTTCTCTACAGTAACGAGCAATACATTTATGCAGGAAATGATACTGATCCTGGAATATCGAAGTTGATTCATAAGTTTTGGACAATATTAATGAACCTGAGTTTGAACCATACTCGCTCTTTGCTTCCGCAAGGATAGAACTATCTCGAAAATATTAAGAGAATCTAGAGCGTTTTGTTCAATCAGCTCCCGCACGTAATTTACAGCAATTATAGTTCCCGTTCTACCTACTCCAGCACTTAAAACACAAAATGAAAAAACTGAATTCCAAAACTCAGATGTACCTGCAGTGGACAAGAACGGGCTGCTCTATATTAGTTTGAAGATCAGCCATTTTTTTGATCATATTGAGCAATTGAATTTCTCCAGATGGACAACCATGGTCAGGCCACTCCCTATTAACAACACGTGTGAAACAAGTAAGAATCATTCAGCATACTTGTAATGAAGTTGTTTGACTGTCTTTTTCACACCAGTAATTTGATTTTCAAAGGAGAATACTCTCAGAATGTAGTCCTCATCGTCATCAAATCTGAATAGAAGTGTGAAATTATTGTGGGAAAATGAAGATACCTTTCACAATCCTCAAAAGTGACTTCATAATTACCGAAAATCTCTTTAGTTCCTTTGGGCTTTGGCCAATAACATTGACACTTCACCTGAAAAAAATCTGAATAACTCTTCGATTCAGTACTCTTTACCTTGTTCATTTCCAAAAGTTTACATAACATTAAAATAATCGAAACATTTTGTTCATCTATCATTTGCCACCTAAATTCAAGCGATTAAGAAGGGATATAAACACGAAGCAAGACTTACCATTCTTCCAAAGTTGTTGGCAAGGGGGCTTGAGCAGCGATGAACTTAGTTTTTCCTTTATCTAAAGAGATATGAGAAGCGTTCATGTAGCCATCGGGATTGGACTCTGTTCCGGATAAAACAACTCTGTTATAATCATCTGAAATACCGAGTAAAACGTGTCACAGCTCGTTTCGAAAGGGAAACTTACATGGTAAAATATCTCGATAACGATTGCGACTGAAATATAAAGCATTACAAGCAGTGTTCGAAGCATATTTGGATTCGGATCGCAAAGCATCCTGAGCTCCACGAATTTCCTGTAAAAAAAAGTTAGTAACATTTTCGTGTTTGAATCTCACAAAGAACTCTCGGACATAGTCCATCATTGTAAGCTTCTCGTCTACGACTAAGAACTGGGCCAAGACTTCTTCCTGTTTCGTAAGGATTTTTTCTTCTCCTTCTTTGTCACTAGGGTTCAGTGCTTCTTGGGAAGCATCTTCGTTCTTAATTTTCAGCCTCTCGATATATTTCGTCAGCTCATCTCCATTCATAACCTTCGGCTCTTCGTTTTTGTTTTTTACATCCTCCACTTCCGAGGTAGCTGATGGAGAAACTTCCTCCATTCAACTGCAAACAGAAAAAGATTATTGATTAATACACCTGCACAAAAAGGAGATTGAGAGAAAGAAACACGGAGAAGCTACAATGTAACTGCTTTGAAATAAGAAACTGGAGGATAAGGGCATGAGGGTTGATGTATATGATTCAGAGCAACAATGCACAGTTGCTTCACAAAAAACATCAGATTCTACAAAATGAGCAAATAGGGGAAGTTCGTTGACTGTTGACCCATCGTCATCGTCAATGTCGCTTCTCGTTGACTGTGAGAAGTTGAATGACGCAGCAACATCCATACATTGGATCGACAATCCGTCATAACCACACCGCATTTAGGTCACAATTACAAGTTAGCTTTAACACGTCAAATCAATAAGTCAAAGTATGAATAATCAAAGTCATACAAAAGCTGGCAAAGTATCAATTGCCTATTAAAAGCAAAAAGGGGTGAGAACGGCTAGTTTGAAATACGATGAGTAAATACGCACAAGAGCTGCACACAACGCACAATCGCCATTCTACGGACTGCGATCCGAGCACATCATGCGTTGAACTCGTGATCCGCCTATCAATTTTGATTTCATTTCGAACTTTAATTCTTTTATGTTTTTGAAATAAAATTCATAAATGCAACGGAACTCGAGCGAGTGCCTGCATATGCAGAGAGTTCTGTGCGAATCATGCTACAGTCTGCCACACGGAATAAATATATCGATCGTTCACCTTATCGGCGATGGGGCAGTATGACTTTTTGGGAAGCTAGTCTTTTATTTTTATATGAAAATAAGGCGAAAGGTAGAAACGACTTCACGATCGTTCTTCGATCGTTTGGCTTTGAGGTTATAATGGAGGGAATTTGAAGGTCATACAATATGCGACTATAACGTTTTCTAATTAATGAGAAGAGTGAATAATTAACAAATCGCTCATACATTCCCGAAAATAATAATGTAAATATGAATACAATGTGCTGGTGTTTCAGTTATAGATGGATACGACGGGAAGGGCTGGAAGAAAAAGAAGAAAGAAAAACAACCGTTCAGCGCAGCCATAAGTGTTAAAATAAATAAAATCCTGAGTAGTAATCACCTCACGTAGCGCTACTTCCGCCACGTGACGTGGCTCAGGATTATTCGAGAAATTAGAATTTCATAAGTCGGCTTTCGCGCAGATTGAGTTTCTAATAACATGAATAGAATATTTCCGTTTAATGTTTTTTGTTATATACACTACTTCAATTATTATTATCGGGATTCTGCAGTAGTTCAAATAAGGAAAGTTCCGAGAATATCCATGGAAGCCTCAGCCAAGAATGAAGGCGGCCTTGCTTCGAATATTTCATGTGAAATCAACTGACTAGCTTGCAGAGTTCAAGAAAGCCAATTAATAATTTCTAGGAATAATAGAACAAGTCGGCGGAACATGAGTAGCACATCAATAATGAGAGTCCTAAGATCCGATATTTAGTTTGAGATTAAACATAGGTCGCGCACAGAACTTTTACATCTAAATTGATTAACGTTAGTTTTAGTACATATAAAGTTCTTTCGACTGATGTATTATCAAGTTACTTGTTTTTGATCGCCTAATTCATCAAGTGATGACTGATTTCAACAAAAAGAGAGAATTCTCTGATTTTATTCAATTTTGTTTTTAACTGCATGTGTTGCACGCATACAACTAAATAACGATGATAGCGATTTGTATAACAATAAGCAAATGATCGTGAAAAATGGAACTAAGATGTCCAGATTGTAATGTTTGATCAAACTGAGATTTCGTCCTTCAACTAGTAATTCTTTCATTCCTCCGTTTGCTAAAACAAAATTCGTGTATTGTATCAAGCGTTGGCTCGCATTAAAGGGTTTGTTCCTGACAAGATTTCGAATTCTCATTGCAGCTTGTTTGTACCTTAACAAGGTTATTTCCTCTTTTTCTCACGATTTCTTTACTTTTGAGACCCCAAAACTTTTTGAAGTCCAGCGATCAGATGTACTGGACCTTGCCTAAGAGTTTGTCTTCTCACAATCACACCCCATCCAGACATCTCCACTGCTCGACTATTCCTATTAATTTATGAAATCTAAAAGTTGGAAGGGGATGCAGTACAAACCTAGTTTGATCAAACATGAAAGGAATTGTAATAAGTGGAGTTCCGGCTCTCGCAGCTTCCATAATGCCATTATATCCTGCGTGCGTGATGAAAGCTCTCAATCGAGGATGTACTGAAGTACTTGGAGGATCTATCTTCCCTTCTTTTCTTCAACTTACATAAAATGGCAGGTTGTGGAAGCCAATCGAAGACTGCAAAATTATCAGATGTAGCTGCCAGTTCTCTTGCATACTGCAAGGATAACACTATAAATCATTTTTATAATTAAACCTACCTTATCAGACTTATCCACTCTCACGAGAAAGTGGTAATCGGAAAAATGCTGCGATGTTTCAAAAACTGCGTTCATAGCTATTTTCGGTAGATCTGTTGTGTTGACAATGGTTCCTAGAGAGAAAAGAACTACTCCCTTCTTGCCTTTATTCATTTCCTTTTCAAACTTCTGAATACAAATAGTTTTCTTAATTACAATGTTTCCTCGCACTTCTCCCATTTCAGATACACTATCTGTTGCTCCTAAACCTCCTATATGAACAATGTTCGGCAACGTTGGTCGTGGTAGTTCCACGAATTCATCAGTCGAAACAAATATTATGTCAGAATTTTTGGCAATGTCTTCAACATCCGGGAAATCTTGCCTATAATAATTTCAATGAGATTAGTCCTTAATATGAGACAACCCGAATTTATCTTGGAAAATTGATGTCAGTTCTATATTGACTAATCGGGTGAAATACCATAGAAGAGAGGAGAACACTATATTCTGAGCTCTTTTGAAATACGACGGATGCAGATCCATATCCAAATTGATGCCAGCTGGCACATATGATAAGGGGACCGGAAGACCAATCGCCCACGTCTGTCCTTCTGCCATCGGACAGCTACAAAAATTGATGAGGAATTCGCTAATTTTTTTGTTTCCGGTTACCTTGTAACCCAAAAGTGAATTTTTATGCCCAGTGCATAAGCCAAAGCATTTCCGCAAAGACTCACTTGCTCTCCGAAATAAGCATCAAACTTTTCCTTCCGCAGTTGTCCCATAATCTCATCATTATTGATAAGGTCTTGAAAAAAAATAGGGAAGGGAGATGCGATAATGTACCTCGACACATGATGTTGAAAGAACTTCCATATTTGTACACTATTGACGTATCACTATGCCAATCACCGTCTCCCAAAATATCAATGCGGGTGAAAGCTAAACAATGTATAAACAAAATTCGAGAATCGTCAACAGACAGTTCAAGGAATCTAGGTATGTTGAAGTGAAATTATGAACGGCCCATCTCCTGGCGTATTTCGATATGTTCAAATTCTTTACTATGAATAGAAAATCGGGTTCAAACAAAACCTGTAAAAAAAAACAAAATAAGCAATATCTCATTGGAAACTTACCACTTCGTGACCTGCTTGAACTAACTCATCTGCGATACGTCCATTTGAAATCATGTGGGAACGGGAAAGTGTCGGATTGAAGAACAATATCTTATGTGCTGAGCATGTCACCAATGAAAGAAACAAAAAAGCTAAAATCTTCATTTCATAGGGAATGAAAAGCCAGACTCAGCCAAACTTTCTCAGTTCATAAAATAAGAAGCAAATCGAACTTATAAAACATGTTATCTAATCATTTTTTTTTCTCAACAAAATGTTATGTTATCTGCAACAGAAAAAAAATACAATTTAGAGAAGTACGCTCAAATCTATTAAGTTCGAAGAGAGCAAAAGAGCTCATCGCCTCACGAAAAAGATAGCGAATGTCCTTCGATAACAGCATTGATACAAAATGATATAAACTGACAATTAAAATTATGCCCTGAGGGTAGAAATAAATTATGAAGCAACCAGTGCCAGTAAGTGTAAAGCTTGATATAATTAAGCAGCATTTTAAGTTGAATTAGCCGATATGTACAATTTTTTAAAGCGTAGTTATGATACAGTTAAGTAATTTTTTTGCTTTTAATACTGGATTTCTTGGAACCCTTATGCTCCGGAGTGGTTTGATGGGTTGAAGACTTTTTTGATGAATCTTCATCACTACTGTCGTCGAACTTTTTCGGAGCACATAACTCTGCGTCATCAAAACTTGTTGTTCTCTTCAAGGCAGGGCCAGGAATTGAAGCCTAAGATAAATGAATTAAGAGTCGACTAATGAAAATAAAAATATTTACTCGAGGATTGCGAATGCGTGGTCCATCAGGTGTAGTAGCTTCACTCTTTTTCCCATCTGCTACTGATGTTTTAGGCAATATACTTTGAACTTGCTTCAACATCCTATGACAATCAGTTTCTTATTTTCTAACATTTGTGCATTTCTTACTTTCTCTGTTCTTCAACAGCATAATGACTTTGCCATAGAGCTCCTATTAGCTCGGTAGTAAAGACAACATCAGCGTGCTGAGCTATGAGTTGGAGTAGTAAGATACCATCCAGGCCTAGATAGAAATCAATAAAACAATCTACATGCTTTTGATTTTCTGAAAACTTCAAAACTATTACTGATAACTGTAAGTTTCTAAACCTGCATTTGATCTATCAAATGGAGCTTCGCACATCTCTAAGTGATTGATAATAAAATGTTCCTTAGAGGTCTCACTAAAAATGATAAAAGCCCAACTGAACAAGTTACAAGTAGTGAATGCAGCTAGGATCAAGTACCTAGACAGAAGATGTATCATATCACAAAGCATTACCACGTACCAAGCCCATAATATTATGAAAATTTTCTCGGTGAACACATTCAAGAGTAGCACGCATTGCACGGTGTGTTTCTGTATATTACCCATCTCTCGTACCTATAACAATCGATGAGAATTCTGTTCGGGCCAATCCTGGCACTTCAAAGTCACACAGTGTTACTCGCGGAAACAAGCCACTTGTTTTCCATGTTGTATTTCCTTGCAGTAAAGAATACCAGATATCAAAACCGTAGTTGGTTAAGCCTGACTCCATATCACCATTGCTCAACATGTAACTGTTCAACAACTTCGATTGCAAGCCAACGTTCAGTAGAAAGGCGAACTTGGCTACGAAATAGATGAACACCACGTAATAGGTTGAGTATTTTATGTTCAGAAAGCGCAAAACTTTGTGAGGAACCAAACTTTTCTGAAACAAAAACAATATACTATGCTGTATACTTAACTAACCTTCTTCAATCTTTTCTGAAATCGTAGGGCACCTTGCAGGTGAAAACACAAAGACGCAATATTAGCTTTCTTCACTTCGGGAACAGTGTTATGATCGTCACTTGCTAACCTCAGAATTTCACCTACTCTCATTCCTATGTAATCAATGGTCGACTTGAAGTTCCATGAAGCTAAAACCGACCACTTTGACTACTGAAGTATTTCCATATCAAGCAGGGTAGCTTGAAACAAGCCGCTTCGAAAAGGAAAAAGAACGGCATCCATTGATAATAAGAAATCTGAACAAGTCCATGAAGACTGCATTCTGAAATGGTCAACCTTCTGGGTCGCGCTTTCACCGTTTCTAGCCGCCAGAACAGGATCAGAAAATGGTACATAATAAGTCTCTTGAGCCCAGCAATAATTTTCCGCATACTTCAAGAATCTAAGCTTTAGAAACTTAGTCATCAATTCTCACCTGAACCCATGCACTAGTAAAGTCTGTGGGTACCATACATTCAATCGGTTTCCCCCCGAACTGTTTGTACGACAGGAGCACTGCCAAACCAACCAACAGATTAGAAGTAAAAAAAGAATGCACGCTAGCAACAATATCTTTAGCCCCAGCTTGGTTACTATACGGCACGGTGTTAAGCACGCGGAATACAAACATCTATAACATCCCCTTACTCCAGTTGAAACTCAATTTTTTTTAAGTATTCAGACAATTCCCCATGTATAGCTTAAAAATAATGAAAATAGTAAAGATGTTTATGCACTATAAACACCAAAACAGTTAACAATGTTTACTCAACAATTAAATCAGCTTCCTTGGTGGCTCTGGTGTACACAAGTTGACCGCTGTGGTGGACAATGCATTTGACGAGTCCCTTGGCTTGCATCTCACGAAGACCGGCCTTGGCAAGGGAAGCACGAACTTTCAGACGCTCAGAAACAACTGATGGAGTGATGAGCTTGTAAGTGATAACCTATGAAATAATATGTAAAAATTGAAGAAAATAATAATGTACTCACTTCCTTGTAGAGCTTATCGTAAGTGGCTTGGTCGAAGAGAACCATGTTGTTGAGTTTATCTCTGACCTTTCCCTTAGACCACTTCTTCTTCTTGGCTTTTCCGCCAGATCCTTCCTTCTTCTTGGAGGGGGGAGCTTTACCTCCCTTGGGGTCCTTCTTTGTTGCCTTGGGTGGCATTCTTACCTTAAGAATAAAAATGTTAAAATAACTGTCAAAGATGGTCAATTTTATCAAAAAAAGAATAAATAGTTAAAAACTATAATATTAGTATCGAATTCGTTTAAAAGAGAAATTATAAATAATTTAAAATATAAAATAAACTTAGGAATACACAAGGAATGCTGAATGTAGTCAGTTTAGATTTGTTTTAGGACATAGAGACATTTTGAAAAGTCACTAGATCATAGTGAGTTTGTTAAGCTACGGTAGCAATCTCTCCGCGGTGGGACCTTTATCGTGCTACGTCTTGAGTCCTTTAAGATGCGTTCAAATGCTATTAAGTTCATGCAAATGAGTTTTCAAGCTTACTTTTCGAAAAGAATACTTTAAAATTGATAAAAAGTTTAATAATAATATATCGATTCGTTTATTCTTGAGTATCTTACCGAACTTTAAATTTGCCGTTCACATTCTGAAAACTCTCACCTTAGAAACTCAAATATCTGAATATCCGCTCTGCGGAGTTCAACATGGCTTTCAAAATGGAGCCAAGTCAGCTAAGAATAGCAGAAAAACTTGTAATATTGAATGATCGAGCTGCTGGAATGTTAACTCGTCTCTATAATATCAAGAAAGGATGCGCGGCTGGTAAGAGTAATCAAAAAAATTTGTTATATTTCTTCTGTACGATTCAGATTCGAAAGCTAAACCTCAATTCCTTCTGGACAAACAGATGGATGGAGCGATTAAACATATCATAAAGAAATTTCCTGTGGTAGATACTCGAAATAACATGGTAGAAAATTTAAAAAAAACCCTCCGAGAAATATAGTTTTAGTCGACATTCTCTTATGCCGCATCCATAAAAGATGAAATCATTCGATCCCTTTCTCTATATTACTACACGTTTGCTGATTTAATGGATTTAAAAGAAAATATTTTACAATTGCTCACAGCTATGGATGCCTGTCAATGCCAATTAGACATTGTAAGTCGTGTATAAGTTAACTGATGTTTTACTATCACTCTTCAGAGTCTTAACTATGAACTGACCGCAGGCTATCTGAACTTGGTAGTTAACATGATTTCTTTAATGATTCTCCTCTCCAGAATTGATGATCGTAAAATTGTTTTAGGTGAGATACTTCTGAGTGCTTTACCATTTCATACTATATTTCAGGACTTTTCAATGCTGCGTTCGATTTGACAAACGGTCAGAGTGAAGCTTCCTTTCCTCGTTTAGGACAAATGATTCTCGATTATGAATATCCTTTGAAAAAACTCACTGAGGATCTAGGTCCCCTGAATAGAGTACTTTCATTTAGCATAATATTTTTCAAATTTTTGTTGCAGTTAATGCACTCTGCTCTTGTGTCTTTATCTCCAGTATACTTACGTCGAAGTATTCCCGCGGATAATTGGAGAACAGCACAAATCCTTTCTTTAACAGCAAACCCTCAACAAATCCTTTTTGCTGCTCAGACGGATACAGTAAGTGTAATCTGGCGTTTTGCCACTTAAGCTATAATGTTAAGATGGCTTGTGAATACCTCTCATTGGATGTCATGGATAGATGGATTATATGTACTAATTAGTGTCTTTCTACAGCTCTACTGTTCTCATTTCAGATTGCGGAACTATCTGCCATTCTTCACTTTTGAATGAACCAATCATCTATAAACAATGGCAACTTTCTTTACAAATGGGAATTTGTACTAGAGTTTTCCGTGATGAAGTTAGTCTTTTTCTACTGGATAATATTTTTTTCCTCTTTAGGTTTTCCTCATGCACACCGAATTACAACATTTCTTTGACTCTGTCAAGGGACTTCATAAACGTTCGCAGGAAGTGAAAGAGTATTACTCCTTAGCTCTTCAACATAGGTATCAACTACAGTAATATTTGCTTATTAAATTCTTGATTTCCGTGCTGCCATACATGCTGATCGTAGAAGGTTCTTACGGGGTGCGCTCAGAGAGTTAACTTTATTAATCAAAGACCAACCAGGTCTTCTGGGTCCGAAAATTTTATTTGTCTGGATGGGTCTTTCTTTCAGTCGCGACGAGGTTATTTGTTGGGATGGATATCTTTCAATTTGAATCATTTAAGGTCCTGTGGCTGTTAAGACATCTGAATGAATGGCCAACATCAAAAAAAGGTAACAAAGGGGCTGATGAATTGATAGACAAACAACTTCCTGAGCTGTTACATTATATGGAGGAGCTACGGCAATTAGTAATTAAACACTGTGGAGTAATACAGCGATATTACCTCAAGGTTTCGTTCATTATGATTCTTTTCACTGGAGTATCTTTTCAGTATGTTAACAGTTACGATGCGATTCTGACGAGAGAGATGTTGTCCACTTTGAGTAATATTTCAGAGGAAGATTCTATTCTTCTTCACCATTTCTCCAACTCAATATCTAATATTAACTCTGACACTGACCTTCGTGCTCTCAGATTGGATTGGTTCAGATTCCAAGTAAGTGTTATTACAGTAAACTATCATTATTTTAATTTTGCGGTTTTGCTATTCATGTTCTTATTAGTTTTTCGATGATCCACATTTGACAGTTGTATGTGGTAGTGAACTCTTATTAAAGTTTGTATTCTAGGCTAGAACATCTATGGCTCGCTCCAGCTTCAGTTTGTTGGATAATCCGAAAACAGCTGTGATAATGAATAGAAATGTTTTTCATTTAAAAATGGTTGATCTTCAAGACGAAATGATCAAAGAAACTAGTGATCTAAGCATTTACTGGTTTGAATTATTGAGAAATAGCTTCTGAGTGTCAAATATTACAGTTTCTACTCTAGAGAGTTCGAAAGGCAATGGCAAGCCAGTTTGTCTCTTCCTGCTCAATCGAGATATGCAGTAGTTTTTGCTAGAATTTGTTCTCATTTTACGAGCACGTTGCATGACATGTGTCCTGAGGAAAAAAGTCATATAATTGATCGGGTACTGTTATCTTCTGTGTTAAAATGTAATATCTTCATCTTCAGTCTCTCGGCACATGCATCACCATATTAGATGACATCTGTCGAACAACAACCGAAGTTGTTGGAGCACTTTGTGAATACGAGCTTCGTCTTGCAGAACAAACCAGTGCATCACAGGTTCGTACGCGCAATGTATAAAGAAAAATACAAAACACGTTTATTAGGTGGCCCTTATGATCGCTCAACAGCTCCAAAAAAGTAAAGGAGGAAAAACTGCTCCCGTTCCGGATCTTCCATTACCTGGAGAAGAAAGTTATAGAACTGATAGGCAAAAGTTGACATATCCCGATAAACTGCAAACAACTTTAGGTATTATCACGAGGAAATTTTTGAAAAAAGTTTGAACTTTTCAGTGGAGCTTTGTGCCGGACTCATGCAGCAGAGACAAATCACTGTTTCTGATCATATTTTTGCGCCGAGAGAATACTTGTCACAGCACTTGGAGTATAAGTTCTCTGACATGATAATGTACATGGCTGTTACTGATTGTTTGTTGCTCTTTGAAAAATGAAAAAGATGACGTATTTTTAGCAACACCACGTCGTCCGTCAGAGTTATTGATGATTGTTCAAGCCTATATGGCTGTTCTACAGAACATAGACACTTGCAGTGAGTGAATGTTTGAATCAAATAGTGTAAAAACATATTTATAGTAACTGTGGATATTACTCGTCTCTTCAACAATGCTCTATTACAACAAACACAGCCTTTGGATTCTAGAAACAAAGAAACTTTAACCTTCATTTATACTAAATGGTATTCTAACTTTCTATCATGATGTGGAAAACCTTATGTTGAAGGTACTTGGATGTAGTATTACGAAGGGCTGCAACTGGAAACATGGTGTGGAGTGATCATTTACAAGCAATGGTGTCGTACGCGGATATGAATCCATTCCAACCAGAGCAATATACGGATCCTCTGGAGCTACGTTGTTTGGCCCAACTCATTGGGCCATATGGCGTTAACTATTTCTCGGAGAGGCTCACCTGGCATGTTGCTTGTCAGATAAATGAGCTTCATAAGGTAAAATCCGCTGCCATACTCTCTCTTATTTTTATTGTGCGCTCCCTAGGTTGTTGTTGCTCATAAGGATCAGTTGCATATGGCTAGAACTCAATTCGATAACATCGATAAAATGAAAGAAGTTTTATCCATATTATGCACTGAGCCTAAAGGACACAAGGTTTATCTTCACGATCTTTCTAATGTTTTGTTTTCTTGATTTCAGTCTCAACCGAACTCTAGTCCTGCTGAGTGCATTTTGCAAAGAACGGCTATAATGGGACAAATTTTTATGTTCAGAGATGCACTTCAAGCTGCTTTGCAACAAATTGTAGAGCAAAGATTACCTTTCATGGTTGCTTCATTCAATGACTTGTACCAATCTCTCGATACGAATGGAAAAACTGTATTCAGCGAATTCGATGTATCTCCGAACATTCGATATCTTCAGATGGTCGCCGAATTAGCAGCTGCTCTTGGAAAGAAGTGTACGGTTGATATGGCATTAGTCAACGCCATGAGAGCTCAAAACTCTCATTTGCAGCCGGATGAGTTTTATTTACTTTCTTGCTTGCTTCTGGTTGCTATAGCTATTTCTCTACCTAAGCTAGCACAAAGCGAGAATTCCATGTATAAACCAAGTATCAAAGGTTTCAACTTGTTCTCCTTCATTCTTTCCTGAAGTTGCTTTTCAGGAAGTTTGAATAATTCGCACTGCATACCATTAGCCATCACTACTATAGCGGGAGCTCTGTTTTATCTTCATGGACGACAAGATATACAACACCGACTCAAAGAATTCCTGGCGGTTGCTTTCCGCTGTGTACATCATTTTCATTTCATTATGTTACAGTTAGCATCCAGTGGGATTCTTCGCAATGCACATGAAAATGAGGGAATGGAAGAGGTGTCAAAGCATCAAGCAGCTCTATATATCATGCTGGAACAGGTATGTTGTGAATAGTAAATATTTATAATTCTATGAATTTAGTTGGTTATAAAATCTGAATGGCTCACCATGGATGTTCTGGAAGCATGTTTCCCTTATAATCTAATTCGAACAGCTTATCAGTTATGCTATGATCAAGAAAGAGAGTTGTATGCCTAATTTCCGGTTAGTGAAGCTTGCCATTGTCTATGCTTATTGCTCAATATAATCCGGTTTCATCTTTGCACTGGTAATTCATAAAAGTAATCTATAATGCCAATATAATCACTTATGTTGCTTAATAATATCTAGTCTTTAAGAAGCATTTCCTTATTCTTTACCATCTTCATAATATTCAACTTCTTTATGAACGCTAACCCCCTTATTGTAAATATGCGATTCCAGTTTCTCGATATAAAATTAGCTTTATCCTTTCTTTTTTATCTATTGAATATTAAAAATAAAAATTTAATACTTTTATGCGTGTCAAGCATTCAGTTCTATTTGAGCGTAACAGAAAGCAACATCTTAAGTACAAATAAATATAGAGCATATTAAAAGCGAAATTCATAGTATTGTTTATGAAATTTGAGATCACTTGAATAGTTCCTATTACCCAAAGTTATAGTACATCACCATTTTGAAACTTGGTCAACTGTTGGTATTCCAATTGCGTGGAGAGAGAAGCGCGAGCCATGATCAGGCTGCCCATTCCGTAAGACTTGATCTGAAATTTTGGAATGAAGCAGGTACAGTTTTCGATCTAAGGCTAAAGGACAATGTTGATATTCAAAGGTTCTCCCAACTATATTAATCAAATTACATGAAAATTATTCTCTATTTTACAACATTCAGACGTTATAACAAACGTGCTGTAGGGACATTTCATTTGAAACTTACATCTGGGTCGCATTGGACAACAACTTGTTTACCCTTTACACCACCCTAACAAGGATAAATTGAGCTTAGTTTTTTTCATTTGTTTTTAAATCTTTTTTTTATTATTCTTCATATGGCATTGCCATTCATATTGAGCTACTTACCTCTAAATGGTTGTGTGGTATGCTCTCCCTCGGTGATGATATTCCAAATAATTTCTCCGCTTCCCTTTCTGGATCGTAAAGCTTCCTTCTGAACCTCAAAACAACACTCAATCCTGGACAGCATACACATGCTCTTTGAATCAGTTTATGAACTTTCCGGATAACCTAAAAACTTTTTTGTGTAAAGAGTTGACAATTGTATTGTAAACGTCTGTTCCGTTAACAAATTGACTTCTGTGTTGAGGAATGACAATGATGAACTTACTTCTCTTCTGATGACTTTATCATTCACACAATAAATAGGAAGACGCAAGGCACAGGCTAAAATAGGCAAAAAGGATGATATATCAGTCATGACAGCATAAACGCCTCCATATTCTTCTAATAACGCAAAGTCGATAGTCTGAACAAATTATTTCAGTTCAGAAATTTGAAGCTCCTATCCTACCTCAATGAAGGAAACAACAACATCAATGATATTTGAGAGTAAATAACAGCAAACCACCATAACAAGCATTCGTGTTACTGTTCGTAATCTGTTTCGAAGTCTCGTTGCTTCTCCTCTGTAAATTATTAAATTATTTAAATCTCTGAATTCTCAACAAAAATACTAAATAGTTAAAACTGAATGTGCGAATCATCAATCAGAAGTGATAGAAAGGTTCAAAAGCTACAAAATCTTCAGTTTCATGCACTGTATAATTTTTCCAATAGGAAAGCTTCTGATCACCCGACTCTGTTGATGTTAGTTTGGTGCTCATGGAAAATTCGTGCAAAGTTGAAAACTCAGAAGAAGATGGAAAAAAGAAACATAGGAGGAAAAAAATAGTAAAAATTCACTTATTGAAAGTGCGGAACGAAGTGAAACTTATGCGAACCCCCTCATCATCTTACTCACTCTCTATCCCCGAGTTATTTCATCAACATCCTTCGCCCTAAGTTTTCGTTCAGCGATTTGTTTCAGTATTTCGAAAAACATCCCTTCTTGATTTTTCGTGAATCAACAATCTTCATCCATAAACCAATTCAAGGATAGAATGTTGGTTCATTTCGCCGAACGCTAATCCGAATTTTTTTTCCGAAGAACGTGAAAGGAAACCGAGTGGAAGCTGAAGCAAAACAGAATTGCCAGCTCTGTGCAGAAGAAAATAGTCATCTGTGTATCTGTGCGCGCGTGGTTGTGAAAAAAGAAAACTAAGAGTGAAAGAAGATGAAACTTAAAAAGAAATCTCATATAGTGCGGAAAAGTTGTTAGCTATTGCATCTGGAGTACGTGAAGCAACATCCATTGGATGTACATACCGCCATTCACGGCATCTTTTCTGTGACGTTTTGAAGTCAGCGCCACCCTCCGAATTAGGTCTAAAAAATTAATCACATGGCGTGATTAGCTTGACGAAACTGATAACAGTTATGAAAATTGAGTGATCAAATGAAGAAAAATCAGAACTGAATAAAGAACAACTTCAAATTAGAAGAAACTGGAAAACTTCAGAAGAAAACAAAGAAATGGTAGAATTCTTGAATTCACAACTCAAATGATTGAAGAAGTTTGAAGAGATGATGTAAAATAAATGAACTTTGCTGTGCATTTTAGATTATCACACGAACCGATAAGTTAAAAAAAAAGAATTGAAGTTGATTGTGAGGCTTGATTAGAATGAATAGAAGGTATTTAACGTACCTCTGTCCGACAGTTACGAAAAGTACAAGAGCTTTAACTGTTTGATCGCGATCTGTTTTACGCACATTCATAACGATTGCAGCATTGAAGTATGCCAACACTGGAAATGGAACAACTTATTGCGTTAGAGATATATGTTATGAATTCTGTGCGAGCAATCAAAGACTTGATCTGGGATATCTGACAATATGCGATAGGCAAGCTGATATGTGACATCAGCACAAGTACTTTGTTTATACTAATGTCGGAAAATCATGAGCAGCTTAATGAGCATCAGACTCACCTACGAACGGAAGGAAAACTGTAACAATTTTTCGTATCCAGAATTTCCAAGCTATATCGGCTACCGGGCTTGGGAATAGACGAACCGTGACAAGACCCATGCTGCTAAGATCAGTACAGTTCGGATATGTGACCACCTGAGAGTGATTATGGTATGAACAGATCAGATGAGGAGTGATAACATACAGCTACTTCGAAGAAGACTGTTCCTTTCAAGATGATGCTCGCAACGAAGCAGATGATCACAACGACTGTTCTGTGTGTTGCAAGAAGACGAAACAATTTGATGGCTCTTAATGTGGCACAAATGAAAGTCAAAAGCCAAAAACTAGATAGCATACCGATTATCACCCGTACTCTGCAGATATCTTTCAATGGAAGCTGCCATGAGTAAAAAAGAAGCGCCAGATAAAGTAATATGGGAAACGGTAAATGCAAAACGAATGAAGTAGTGCCAAAGATAGAAAAGGAATAGGGATTCATAGTAATCGGTGTAAACCTGAAAGAGTTATTTTTAGCTTGAAAACATAAATGTGTGATATGTTTTGCGGGGTAAAAAGATTTAATATTGAATAATTATTCCCAATGTAAGCTATTGAGGAGAAGTTTTTTCCTTCTGCTGAATAACCAACCACGTTTTTTTTGCTCTTTCATTTATGGAGTTGGAAGTTCTTTACCTGCATACACATGATAGCAATGTAACAGAGTGAAATGAAGACGTCACATCCAGATATCCACATAAGATAAGTCAAGTTACGCTTTCGTAGAACCTTAAAGAGCATCATGATTTGTTGACCTTCCTATTTTGGTTTAATGGATTGAAGAAGAAAAAAGGATCATGAAGCGATTAAAGTTCATGAGACAATGAAAGATTGCTTACATGAGATGTGTTGAATGTGTAGAACATAAGACAGTTGTGAAGAATACTAACAAGAGCTGTTATCAAACCAATAATTCCAACAAAGATCATTTTCCATTCCTAAATCACAATGAATTATGTTTGTCTATGATGAATGCTTAAACGTTTAGAATAAACATGCACTTACCAGAAAAATCTGTGGCTGGTATTCGCAAGGATCGAAGTCCATGGTGTAATCGCTGAAGTTCGACATTCATGCCAATTGGAGAGCCTATTCCTAAAATCATTCGTTATAATTGAAAGAAAATTGCTAAGAAAAGTCAAATAAGAACAAGCTTGTGGCAAGTTTTGAACGACTATGTACATGAGTAAGTGATGTTGAGATCAATGAGAATGCTTTCTGACCTGAAATATGATTTCACTTTGGGTAATTCTTGGAGAAACACCCAAGATTACTCTGATCAATTATTTATCCTCAAAATCACTCTTTTTAAAGTTTGAAGAAAGTTGAAATAGTGAACAGGACAGAATGATTAAACAGAAGAAGTGAATTAAGAAGATGTAAGTCTGGCTAAGTTAGTAACAAAAGAAAATTAAAATTTCATGATTCTTTCATTTTTGCTTTGATAGAGAGAAAGATAGAAAGAGAGAGAGAGAAAGAATGAGAGATGGAGAGATAGAGAAAGAAATCAAGTGAGGGTGAGAAGAGAAGATTCTGAATTAGGAAAATGGCCAACATTTGCTTGTGTTAATTCACTTTTAGAAAAAATAAAAGATTAAAAAAGGTTTTCTCAGGCTCAAAATGTCATTTTTCGAATTGTACATTTGAAAAGACTCATCATACACTTGTCTTGGTAGTCAAAAGGGTTTTAATGAAAAAGGTAATTAATAGCTTTATTTTTCTTTAATAAATAACAAAAAAAATAAATAGAAGACAGTTGCTCAATCGACGTAGAGCCATGTGAAGTTGACAACATGACTTTAAACATTACCACCCTCTAGCATACAATTCTCCTCCTCTCTTATGAACTAAGCCAACCCACTACTACGCATTGAGTTGAGCTGAGAGATTTAGAGAGAGGCTAGATAGATAGAATGAAATGTATGAGAGAAAAACATGGGTACTAAGACGAGGAAGAACAAATTTAAAGAAAAATGTGGATAAGAGAGAGATAAGAGAAAATTGATGAAGACGAGAAACAACCGTTCTGGACGCTTGCAAGACTTCAAATGAAAATAAGATCAGCTTGAAATTTGAATTCGTCTCGAGGTAGCTGACGTGATTCTGGATCGTATTACATGTTAAGACTTATCAAAGGTAAAAGAGATTGTTATTGAGCTGATGATGATGAAGAACAAAACATTTTTTCATCCTGTTTTTTTGTGAACCAGAAAGATTGCTGAACTCTAAGTTCATGAAATCATTATACCTCCATCACAAACTGCTTTACGCACAAACTGTAATTTAAAACAATGAAGAAAAAGCATTGCAGCTGCTTCAACTTTAACATTTACACCTTGATCAAAGTGAATTAAAAAATTATAATTTGGGATATAAATTTGCTTTACACACACGCACACACTCATACATACACAAAAATTGTTTCAGAGGGTCTTTGATCTATTTATTCAAATACTTCTTTTTAAAATACTAAAGAGAGGAAAAAAAGAGAGGAAAATGTACGAATAACAAAAGAAAAAAAATTTCGTCAAAAACTCCTGGAAATTGAGAAATGGAAGATTCTATTGTCAAATTTAAATGATTTCTCTATCTAAACAACATGACATTTAGAAAGATTTTCTCTATCTCGCGGCCTGAGTAAATCGTCAAAAGATAAGAAAGAGAATGTTTCCAAATATGTAGTTTGAACAATTCTTGAAAAGAGGAAAGGGAGAGAGAGAGAGAGATAAAGAGTAAAAAAATAGAGGAAGAGGTAAGATAGGATATAGTAAGTCTGAGAGACAGAACGAGAGAGATAGATAGTAAGCAACAACAACATAAAGAGGTATAACACACATACACAGAAGAGAAAGAGAGAGAGAGAGAGGTATGGAAAGCAAAGGAGAGAAAAAACAAATTGAAAGAATTGTGAAGAAAAAAAAAGTTTTTATTTTCTCCAAAATTCATTTGAAAATTCATTTGGCTCAATGAGGTCAACCAAGGTATCTCAACACCCATGTTTTCATAAGAAGATTGATTAATGTTGCAGTTTTTTCTTTTTAATTTAAAAAAAAAAACAAACACTCGATATGATTGACAAGTTTTTGAGATTCAAATGATGCAAAAAATGAATGTAAATGATTATTTTCTTTTAAAATTTTCTTTTCGGTTGAATAAGACAGCATTCGGTTCCATGAAATCTGCTTTCCATCATAAAGAAGAAAAAAAATATTTGGATTAAGTAAAACAATATGTTTCTGCGGTAACATTTGTCTGATACCCATATGACAGATTCGAAACAAGAAAATAAGAGAATAAAATGAAAATTTTAATTCCAAAACATAAGATGAGAAGAAATGAAACTTCTTCAGTTCGAAGTTCCGGGAACAAACAACTTGAATGAAATGAAAGACGAGTTGTAAAAGAGTTCAATTTCTAACATGACGAAGCTGTTCAATTTCTTTGCAAGGTGGAAATTAAGCAATTAGACGTTCAGATAATTACAGACAATTTTTTTGGTTTTTTTTCCAAATTTTTGAAAACAGGCCTGCAGTGTGTCTAGTCTCAACTGTTAACTTCTCCGTCGACTAAGACGGATAGCAGTTGAGACCAGAGGAGACTAGAAATATCGGAATACTCTCAATTTCCGACAATTTTAGAAAAAAAATTTGAAATAAAAATTGAATTGAAAACTCATCTTGCCTTTCTAATCTTGATATTCGGACATCCGTTTTCAAACAAGACAAAATGAAGACGAAGTATCAGATGGCTGGGTCGAGCACCTTTCAAGGAAGCAAAATTTTTTTTTTTACTCGGAACTTCTAGTCGAAGAGGAAGGTTGTAAAGATTGATGTATAAAAGTAAATTATAGATGATGAGAAATGAAAATTTTGTTTTATTCACAAAAAAATAAGAGTGAAAAGATCGAAAACGATGAACCTTCTAGGAACTGGAGAATTTTCCTGAGAGTCTTGAGATTATACAAGAATTGGTCTTGTATTTGAATATTCATAATATAAGTTTGAAGAATAGTGAGTATAGGAAAATGAAGTGGAAATAATGATGAAGAAGTTCTTTTCAATTATAGTTGTTACAAAGAAACATTTACCATAAATGCATATAAGCTATAAACTTAGCTTGATCGCCACTTGTCGTGCGATCTCTTCCAAGAATTATCTAAACTTCAAATATTTTTCATATTTTTTTTTACAATTTCTTCATTAATCTCAAGTGAGTAGAAGGCTTGATCTAAAATATGAATATTTGTTTTTATTGAAACTGGTGGATATTTAATATTTGAATATCTTTCTCATCTGGACTGAAGGAGAGGATGACCATCTAGGCAATCAACTTGGCGCACCAGATGATGATGGATGCAAAAACATACTCGGCGAGCTTTCTTGAGTTCATTAAGAAAGTTCATTGGAGAAGATGAATGGGCAAAGCAAAATTAGGAGATTGGAGATTGGAGATTGGTCTTTTACGAGCGTCTCATTCATTTTTCTTACCTGTCAGTTCATGAGAGCGAGTATAGATGAAAAGGAGGAAAAAAAGATGTAAAAGAGTGAAGCTTAATTCTTCATGAGCTTGTTGAGCCAAATGATGTCAGTGTGGTGAATGATGAGCTGCCATCGACAATTATAAATTCCAACATCATTTGTATAAATTTATTGGTGACGAACAAAGGTGTTTGCAAGGAAAGTTGAAAAAAAGAAAGAAGAAGAATGAGCAAAGCAAAAATCTAATTCTTTCTATAAAAGAAAATTGAATTGTTTTTGAGAGAGACAAGTCAAAGAATGTTTAACAGAACTTCTGACTTGTACTTATCGTCATTCTCATCAAGAATCCCATCCGATGGGTAAAATTCAGTAAAGCGGACGTATTCAGAGTATTTCTCCCCACACGAATTGGGGGTGGACAATCCAGACGTAATATCATATGACGTGTGTGAAGGTGAAAGATATAAAAGAAAAGTTTGAAATAGGACGATGAGGAAGTTAGAAAACTATAAAAAAGGATTGTCGTCCTCTAAGCGATGATGAAGCTCAAAAATGGAAATCACAAAACTGGTGGGAAATGAAAGTGAGAATGTATTTTTAAAACAAAAGGCGACAAAAACCATATTTGAAAAGCCACGGAGTTAATTATGGCTCGTAACAGATGGAAACGTAGTAAAATGGCGATGGCTTGTTTGCCTACGTTTTTCTTATTGAGCTATTTATGGGAATGAAAAAAAAGTTGGTCAAAAGAGAAGAGACTACTTCATGGAAATCCAGGAACAATAAATGTTTTTGGAGTTTCTTTATATGTTGACGATGATTTGGAAAACAAATGACGAGAAATATTGTATGAGAATATCTTTCCTGACAAGTCGAAAGAAATGCCGGAAAGAGCCGTGGACATGTTCCTTTTATAACTGCAGGGAAGTTAAAGTTCTGAGTTTTGAACATAATGTTCGGAGATCATGACAAGCAGAGGAAAAAAAGATGAAAAAAATATATAAAATAAGATCATTGGAGTCAAGATAGATGAAACACAGATCATTAATTTCTTCTTCGGATTTCTTTGAAACACAAAAAAAATCGTTCCTAATAAAATTAAGTGTGTCGGAGAACCTCAAATCTGCTGGACGCAGCAGTTAAGTATTCACAATGAGTTCCCGGAAGCATGTATCTTCTTTCATTCGCTTTTTATAATCATGTGTATTTAATGGCGACAAAAGCTTATAGTTTTTGAATGAAATACGAGGTTGTCGACCGAACTTAGACTTTGGTTGTAAACATCTGGAAAATTGTAAATTTTCATTTTTTACTTGAACTACTTTAAGAGATGATGTAAGTAAATTGGAACTACTTTCTTCCATATTCTGCCATCACAGCTTCCTGTCAAGGCAATGCCTTTCTCTCTCTCCCTCTCTCTCTCTCTCCCTCTCTCTCTCCCTCTCTCTCTTTCTCTCTATTTTTTGCCTTTTCCTCTGTTCACCTCCCTTTTTTATTTCTCTCGTATATCTGAAAGAATAAAAGCTTCATAGATAAGTGCAATTGCTTAAATTTACTGGACACACACAACGAGCAGGAAGAATGAATCATCTTGTCTGATTTTTGGCTTTCATAAATAGTAACGAAAAACCTATTTTAGATAATAAGCAAGAGCCGAACGACAAAGAGATGTAATGAACTTTTTCTTTCTCTAAAAGTAAAAGTATTGAGGGTGGAAAGGGAGATTTTTTTATTTTTTCCTGGGCTAAGCAACATAACCAACCGCTCTCATCGCCTGTGTCTTGTAAAATAAGATATTCGCACGTGCACATCCACGTGGATAATGAGATTTAATGGTCCCAAGATGAAGAATGATGTTGTTCAAACAGTAATTATATTTAAGTTGAATAAATGATTAGCTCTTCTATCCAATAACATTCTTTTTTTTGTTTCATCGGAAAGGATGGAAGGAAGTAAATGTTTATTAGAAGAGCAAAGAAAAGAAAATATAAGATAAAGAGTATTCTATTAGAACAAAGAGATGACTTTAAGATTCAAATCACATTTGACTTTCTCAAAATGACCATTTGCATGAAATTATTTCAATTTCAATTTCTTTTCCAAGATTTTCAGATTCTAAATTAATGGAGCCAATAGTTGCATGGAAATGAGCTTTAAACGATCTGAGATCAATTGAGTTCGAGGAATTCTTTGCGAGAGAGGTGCAGATTAACAAATCATGGAATCTTTCCCAATGTAGCGAAGCGTGAGGAAAAAATAAAAAAAATAAATTTTTCATATTTCACATCCGATAATGACAGATTGTTTTCTCGGAGTTCTTTTCTTGCATCGTTCTTGCATTGCATTTCCTTATTAAAATAAATTATTTTATAGCATATATGATAAATTGAATTTGAAAAAAAAACGTGATGAGCACGTAGGAAATAAGGTTTCTGACAAGTATGCTTATTGAAAGCAGCAAAAAAGTTTAAAGATGAGTATACGGGAGCTAGAGCTATAACCGAAGACGTAAGTAGTAACGTAAAGTTTAAAGCTTATAGTTGAAAGATTAAACATAAAAAAAGTAATTTAAGCTGACCAGAACACATCAGAAGTTAACAGTCAGTAGGAAGCTGTGGCTGCAGGTCGAATTGCAAATGGCATCATGTGCGCACAAGAAGGATGGATGAGAGAAGAATATGAGGAAGATGAATGGACAGAGTGGAAAAAAGCTCTCGTTAAAGCTTATCCCAATGAATGATAATGAAAATGAGAATATTAATCTTTATAGACAAAAGATGTTTGCAACTTGTCATTTTAGTTGTTTTTTGCTCATTTGCATATTGGAAGGAATGTGTCAAAGTCAAGAAGAAGAAGAAGAAGAAGAAGACACTTTTGTTGCTGACTAACACTTGTTCTGTCAAGAAAAAAAAATAAAGATCAGAAAACAAAGAAAAAGCTTGTAGTCTGAAATACTTAAGAATGATATGTATGGATGATGATAAACATACGTCTTAATAGTAATTATAATTACATTTATGTTGCATAGAATGAACCATTGAGAACATGGAACATGGGTTATGAGTATTAATTCGGATAATTCAATTGTTTGTGTTTGGTTTATTTTGTTGTAAGAAATTGAATAAATTTTTATTTGAATTAAGTGTTTTATGCATTTCTTGAGAGCCGTTCACTGTTTCTAATGAATTTCTATTCCTTCTTTGCCGTGTTGGGCTATCATCGCAAATAGCATTTCATTGTATGTATTGTCCAACAAAACTTCTTATGAGGAAGGCTTGGAGGAATCAATTAAACATTCTGCATTTTTTATCAAAAAGCTTCAAAATGAATAAATAAAGTGAGAAAGGAAGGAAAAGATGAAATTCAAATATGCAAATGAGAGGAATTCAAATTATTCTTTTAAAAAAAAAGTCAGATAGAGAGAGAGGGGCAGAAGAGCAAAAGTTTACGCCATCAAAGGGTTCAATAAAGTCTGGCAACTCTTTAGAGGATTGAGTGAGAGAGGCTTTAGAGGTAAATAGAAAATATAGGATGAAGGCAATGAATGGAAAGTCTTATGCTAGAGAAAGAGATAAGAAGAAGCGAATTTGAATATAGAGAGGTAATAGGTGAGTTATGAGTACCTGTTAACTACCGTACACGATAAAGAAAACATGGAGGACATGCTTTTGTTTTTGCATTGAAACAACCGTTCGTCAGCATCTGACGGTTCGAAAGTGCGATTACGAGAACTGCGACCCATACACGTGAGAGTTGACGTGAGAGCAGACCTTCATTATTCAAATTTTGATGTTTTGATGTGAAAAATAACTTTTTTTTTCGTGAATTTCTATATAAAATTTAATATTTTTTATTTAATGATGACAAAAGAGAGAGTTAAAAAGTTCCTAGAAATGCAAAAACAAGGAAAAAATGAGGCGTTCAAATGGATTTTTAAATTTCAGATCAGGTTTGTAGACATCTGATATACATGTATCATCTTCATATTATCGTTTTTTTTGTTTGACTCGTTCAAACATTAAAGAAAACAATTGCTTTTCGGCTCAAAAGAACCGAAAAAACATGCTTTTCAGCCTTGAAATGAACACACAAAGTTATGTAGTGATTACTTGCAACCGCCAATTAAACGGTAAACATCTCATCATCTGTACAAGCTTTGAATTCCAAAATGCTCATCGGAATTTGAATTTTTTACTTTTTATTCGCCAACTGATAATAATATTTTTTATATGAAATAAAAAAGGTTCTAAGCGCATGTTTTTCAACAAAAAAAAATGAAAAATCTGAAAGGAAAGAGAGATGGATATGTTCGGAGAGATTTTGTCGGAAGTTGGAGTTGCTGAGATGCTAGCACTTGTCAGCTTATCTATAGTCCCAATCATCCAAGTTCACAAGATATTTTCGAATTCCTGAACGCTCAAATGCTCTTTCTTATCAAATTATTATTTTTGCTTTGTTTGAAGTCGTCTTAGAGTGACAAAATATGGGTTGATTAGGCTTAAACATTAGAGTTCAAAAGGAAATTTACAAAATAATAACAACAAGTTGAAAAAATCTGTTCAATTTTCTTTTTCAACGGGACAGGAAAAAAGAATGGGACTGACATCTGCCTTTTTAAATGAAACGGAATCGGAAGACGAAACCTTTAGAGACTAGATCTGAAGGCGATGAAAGAAGAAAAAGATCGACGATGAATGCCTAAGCATCTAATTTTCGATATAAAAAAAGAAGTATTATTATGTGTTATTGTCTTTCTTGGAAAGAAGCTTAATCGTCTTTCAATTAAATATCAAAACGTTTTCAGCTTATATACAAAAGATTTTCTGTCTTCGTTTTGCATATCCATTAATGGATATTCGTCATTTTGGCATTTAACATGCCATAGTCATCGTTTGCAAAAAAAATAGGAAAGATAGAGAGGAAGATTGACCACGGGGAATATGCTTCAGAGAGATTAGAGAGAGGGAAAAAGAAGAAAGACTTAAATTGCACAAGGCAGAACACCTCGTAGACATGAAGTAAGAAAACTCTAGAATAGAAGGAAGTGTTAGAGTTATAGAACGAACTTAAGGAGAGTTCAAAGACTGTTGTAGTTGAAGCTAGTATTATGGGAAGAGAACCGTTTGCCTAACCCATAGTGAAGGTATTTATGAAAAAATGAAATAGAACAAGCTGAAAGTGCTGAGGGCTAGAAGGTCAAATAACCTTTTGCCATTTGTTTTCTTCAAACTCCAATATCAATAATACGAAAAATGAAATAGAAGGCATACTCAACAACTTATTTTCTTATCTGATCCGAGGGATATAGAAGGATATATATATATGCTAATTTCAGCAGAAAGTTTGTCCACAATGTTATTATTTTGATATTGAAGTGATGCAAATTCTCCCAGAAGCTTGTAAAAGTAGACTGTGAATTAAAGGTTATTGAGATGAAGTTTATATTACTTTTGCTTTTCTTTTTATTAACAAGAATATGATTGGGTGATGTCATTAATCCGCTTACATCTACGCCAACAAATGTTATTGTAATGAAAAATTGAACAATTGCAGATATAATGATGTGATCCCGCCATAAATTGATGAATAATATCCAAATATGGGCATCTGATTAAGCCATTCACCTATCTTCAGTACCGTATTTTGCTTAGCCTTTGAAGCTGAATAGACTTGAGGCACCTGAAAACATTGATAAATCTTTTTTTAATTTTTTTCCTGGAACATTCTTGATCTAAAGTTTAAAAACAACGTAAATGCATATTTTGCGACCAAAAACAAATCGGATTATCCGCTGTTTCTGATCTGGGCTTTGATACTGAGTTCTGTTCACTTATTGAATAAACTGTGAGCTCTCTTAATGAAAGAATGGAGTCAGTGAGCTGGATAAGTTGGTCAGTTGGAAATCTCTTCTCAATTTAAGCTTTATCTCAAAGCAAAAAATGGCAGAAAATAAAATTAAGTTGTGAGTTGAAGCGTATAAAGATGGAAGTCCTTCTCTGCTTATTCAGAATCAGGAAATGCTGTAGAGGAAATGATATTATCCATATATAGCCTATTCAACATCTTTTTATATGAAATAAAAAAGAAGAAAGAAGAAAAAAATGTATTTGAGAAATGAAGAAGAAAGGGAACAAGGTGAAGATATTCCACGAAATATCTTCAAAATTCATTTCAACTTGAGAATGCTTGACGAATGGGCGATAACTCGACCAATTTTACTCTCTTTCTTGGGAACGCTTATGAAGTTTATAAAATGTAAGTAAACTTACAGTTCCTTCTCTTATATGGGTGATTGCCTTACGCACTTGATCTCTCTTACACTCAAGTTTCTTATTTAAAAACCAAAAGCCATATTTAGCCAGGACACGTTCCTATATATATATTATCATTGAAATGGAATGCTGGAATAGAAGAGAATATTAACTTTTCCTCCATCTGTTTCTCCGTCCATCTGGATCAGCATGGGTGCATTCGTTTGATCCCCATAAATCCACTCCCAACCAGATATCAAACTGATAAGCGATAAATATACTAGATAACACAATAGCACTTTTACGAAATAAACATCTACGCTTATCTCATTTTTTTTTTGGAGAATAAAAGAATTGAAAGTTAAATCTTACTTATGGGGGATATATCCACAACTAAACTGTCCGCTCAGACAAAACATCTTCACTATATCGGGGTCCGTTATATAAATCCATCGTTGCCAGTTTATCCATGAATGTACTAATGCCTTACTCGTTTCACCTACGGGCACATAGAAATTGGCTCCATTCATTATGTTCTTCCTGAAATGGGTGCAAGAACATAAAAGAAAAAATATTGTGCATTTTGCAATAAAAAAAGTTATTTATTGCCTCGATTCAGCAACTCCTTCATATCCTTGTTGATCTACTAGAATATCGAAATGATTTAGTTTCTCCAACGAAGGCAATGGATTCGATGCCCAAATAGTGTCAGCTTGTAACATCCAGAATGGTTTTTCATAGAATTGCAAAGCTTGGATTAAGTTTGTTCTCATTAAAAAGAAGCTCATATAAGTTGCATCGAACGGTTTAAAATGTGCCTGGAAAAAACATTCGTTTAGCAACACATACTTTATCATTATGCTAATTTCGTCACGTGTGTTTTCACGTAACTGCTCAGTTCATTTATAAAACTTTATTTCGTACAGAATAGTTGCATTCTAATAATTTAGAAGACTAATAAGGGAATAAATGAGTTTTGTCCTCAATATAACATTCAAGAGCTTCAAAAAGTGTAATGGACTTTATTTGTATTGCTCTCTTTCTATTTCTATGAATATGACAATCAAACCTTTAATGACAGAGTATTCCACTGAAATATGGTCAGATTAGGATATTTTAGGAGTATTCCTTCTCTCGAAGTAGAGTCAAGAACGAAAAATAATATCTTCCGGTGAATATTCATATAGTACGTGTTGCACAACCAATTCAACGTCATCGGAAGGGCATGTTGGTTCAACAACATCACTCCATAGTTCGGAGGTAAGGATTTCACTGCTTTTGCTAACTCTTCACTACGGAAGAGATCAATAGCTTGAAACTCTTTTTCATTTTTATGCATTATCATCAAATTCTGATTATTCATAATATAATTTGAACATAATATGAAGACTACAGTCGAAAACAATAGAGAGGGTAGCCATAGAATTACTAGAGCCAAGCGCGCCATGGCCTAGGTGGTAATTCTATGAGAAAGGCTCTCACTAGCTACCAATAACAACAAAACTCTGACCGAGTTTTCAATACTGTAAATTGTTTTATCTGATATAAGCCGAAATCATTTAAATTCTTTTCGAGGTAATGGTCAAGCGAAACTTTTCTTGAACTCGTATCTCCCCGGGAGATCGGCAAACGCTGAGTATTGAAAAAATGCGTTCCATTAAAAAAATCTGAAAATTCCTCGGAAATTTTATACTCATAAACTATCAGAACAGTTCTCCAGGAAATTCAAAACATTTGGTACTGGATACAGGCATCAGTGAATAATGCTAATAATGCTCGAATGTGGCTAAGATGAGAAAGGCGCTCCAAAGCGAATACCCCGCCCTTTAATTTACTTGAGAAGCCATCTATAGCGAACGCTACAAATGAATCCATGAACTGTTCTGTATGGAAATTTATGTTATAATTATGTTATTGACTCATTCTGAATAACATAATCTTTGGTTATATCTTCAATCTTGGTTGTTTTCAGGATGTCGTCCGACGAAAGTGATGACGATTACCAGCAGAAGCCTTCAATTAACGTAAGTTTTCTTTAATAACGCGGATGCCTATAACCCATTTTAGGAGGACAGTGGTTCTGATGACTCAGACGGTTCGAACAGCGAAGGGGAGAAAAAACCTGCAACTAAGAAGCCAGTGAAGAGAAAGGTTTTCTATTCGTTTTGAACGGTCTGTAGAATTTTCTCTCCGTTTTAAGCTGGAGTCTGACAGTGAAGAAGATGAGGAGGAAGAAGAGAAGGAAGAAGAGAGTGAACTTGATTCCGAAGAAGAGGAAGAAATCAAGCAAACTGCAAAGAAGAAAAAGAGAGGAAGGGTCTGTTTTCTTTAAATATTCCAACATTAATTTGTATGGTTAAGAAGTCACGACAGCCTAAAGGCACGGATTTTATTATTCGAGATGTCTATGTAGATGATGATGCGGAAGAAGATGACGATTATGTTGATGATGATGATCGAGGTTTTGAACCTAATGAAAGAGAAGAGGTAAGAAAGATAATGAAAAGAATTTATATATATAACCATATTCGAGGCTGAACGATATATGAAGCAAATTGAAGCTGAAAGAAGAAGTGAAAGAAATCTCTTCGCGTAAGCCATATCAGACAAAGTTCAAAAAACGTGTTATCTTAGGAATATGAACGAAGATGAAATTGGAAGATACTTTGAAAACAAGTACAAATCAGCTCCCTCTAGAGATATGGTCGATGATGATGGAGGCCTCGGTAAGGGAAACATCTCATACCTTGCAGAAAGTTAACATTCAGATGATATTTCTCAGCACAGTTTGCTGCCATCCACCAAAGATCCTAATTTATGGATCGTTAAGTGTCGAATGGGAGAAGAGAAGCTTGTTGCAATGCAGCTCATGAGAAAGTATATTGCATATGAAACAAGTGATGAGGTACTGTCTCTTTATTCTCATGCATGGTTAAATATACTTTTCCAGCCTCTACAAATCAAATCTATAGTTGTTAAAGAAGGATTAAAAGGGATGATATATATTGAAGCTTACAAACAATCTCATGTAGCTAGTGCCATTGATGGAATCTCTGCGCTTAACTCTTATAACATTGCTGTAAGATTAAACAAGTTATACCCAAAATAATGATAAGCATGGTTCAGATGGTTCCGATTAAAGATATGGTTGATACTTTGCGAGTTGTGAAAGACACTCCTACTCTGAAATCCGGATCTTATGTCAGACTGAAAAGGACCATGTATAAAGATGATTTAGCTCAGGTTTTACCTCTCATAAAGTAGTTGTCTGAAATTTAATTTCAGGTTGATTTAGTTGATATAGCTTCCAATAAAGTAAACTTGAAAATAGTTCCTAGAATCGATTACAGCAGAATGCGAGGAGCTCTCAGAACTGTATGAAATACTTTTATAGCTGTGTTTTTATTCTATGCTATTTCAGGACGCCGATAGAAACGCTAAGATAAAGAAGCGAGCACCTTGTCGTCTTTTCGATTTGGAGCGGATCAAGTAACACACTAATTTTCTATGCTTCAGGATACTTTATTTCTAGGGAAATTGGAGGAGAAGTAACAAACGATGGTGATTTCCACATTTTCGAAGGTGGTCATTACCGTAGAGGATTTTTATACAAATCTTTCCCGATGAATGCAATTGTAAGATGAACAACTAAGTACCAAGTGTTAATTCCTTCTCCACAGATTGCCGAGGGTGTCAAACCCACTTTGGCAGAGCTTGAAGTTTTTCAGGAGAAAAATCAAGATTTGAAGAAAGAATGTATGTTGAAAAAGGTTTTTGTTAGGAAAATGTTTTGTTTTCAGTAGAAGCAACTACCGTGAAAGATATGGGACACAATTTCGCTCCAGGAGACATGGTTGAAGTCACTGAGGGTGAATTGGTCAACCTCAGGGGAAAAGTAGAAAGTGTCGAGGGCGATAAAATTGTGATCTTACCTGAACATGAAGATCTAAAGGCATGGTTAAATACTGAATAGCCACAGAACAGTTTTTTTCAGGAAGCTTTAACACTAAATTCTTATGAACTGAAAAAGTTCTTTAAAACCGGTGATCACGTCAAAGTAATAGGAGGACGTTACGAAGGAGATACTGGAATGATTGTTAGAGTTGAAACGAATATGGTGGTGGTTATCAGTGATTTGGGTGTAGATGAGGTAAAAAATAACTTTTAACTTGTCAACAGAATTCATATATTAATTTAAGATGAAAGTACGTCCCAGAGATGTCCAATTATGTGCTGATGTTACCACTGGAGTAGATTCCCTTGGTCAGTATCAATATCACGACCTGGTGATGTTAGATCAACAAACTGCTGGAGTTATTACACGTTTGGAAAAAGAACATGTTGAGATTCTCACAATCCATGGAAAGGTTTGTCGCTTCAGCAGAGCCAACTCAATATCTCATTTTCAGGTCATCCGTGTTAAGCCTCAATCCATTCAATGTAAAAAGGATAGTCGGAACATCAAAGCATTGGACAGCCAGCAAAATACTATTGAAGTACGTGATATGGTAAAGATTATCGATGGTCCTCATGCTGTGAGTTGTGTTTATGAAACCAAAGGTAACAATAACGGTTGAAGGCTAAGAAAGATAAAGAAGAAGAGAAACAAGGAGAGATCAAGCATCTTTACCGATCATTTGCATTCATTTACTCTCGTCGTCATACCGAAAATGGAGGTATCTTTGTATGCAAACCTCGTCACCTTCTCCTTGTTGGTTCTAAACCCAAAGGTTTGTTATTAAATGATCAAATCTGTATATAATAGTATCTAGCTTCTGAAATTCCTGCAATGAACCGCCTAATGGCAACTCCCAATCCTTTCATGTCTCCTAGAAGAACCGACACTTCTAGTGTATTCGGTGGCATGACTCCAGCTCAAAGTGTGTCCGGCAGAAGTATGCGAGGTGGCCAAACCCCTGGTAGTACAGCAAGTGAGAATCTTTTTATTAACTGTTATAAACTAACTGATTGTTAGCCGGTGCTATGGGGCCTCCTCTTAATAACCCTACTAGGGCTAGGAGAGACAACTCCCTAATAGGAAAAAGTGTTCGAATCACTCAAGGTCCTTTGAAGGGATACTTTGGAATTGTCAAAGATGCTACTGAACAAACTGTTCGAGTGGAACTTCATACTCAATGCAAAGTGAGCTGAACTTTTTGAATTTGTGGAATGGCTTTGTTTAGACCATATCTGTGGATCGCTCTAGAATTCTCCTTGTTGGAGATGGAACTCCAGGAGGATCTGTTACAAATGTCTACAGTCGTACTCCAGCTGCCTTTGATGACGGCCGAACACCTATGTATAGTAGCAAGACACCCATGTACGGTGCCCAAACTCCCATGTATGGTGCTCAGACACCGATGCATGATAGTGCAAGGACTCCTCATTATGGTGGAATGACACCAGGATATGATGGAGGCAGAACTCCGGCCTATGATGGAGGTAAGATTCGTATCTCCAAATGGAAAACTCATTTTTTTATCAGGGCGCACTCCAGCTCATGACGGTGGCCGCACTCCAGCTTATGATGGAGGTAGAACCCCAGCTTATGACGGAGGTAGAACTCCAGCCTATGATGGTGGTAGAACTCCCGCATATGATGGAGGAAGAACTCCAGCTTATGAACCTGCAGCTACACCTGGACGTGATAATGATAAGAGAAGTGATGACGAAGAAGATGTATGAGCGTTTTTTTTTATGTTCTTGATTTGTTTGCTTAGTCTGGACCTCACTATGATGCCCCAGGATCTCCAACATACAGCGTACCTACACCAGGCGCTTTGCTTAATCCTCAAACTCCAGGATATGCTCCTGAAACTCCATTAGGTATTTCTGTAAAGTTTTCTCCAAAACTAATTCGAGTTTTAGGTAATTACAATCCTCTCACCCCCGGTGGTATGTATGGAGACTATTCCGCTCCTTCACCTTATGTACGGAACGACTCTAATGACCATATCACACCCGGAGAGATTCGTACGTTTTGTTTGTGAATATTTAGATTTCATTGGATTGCTTCAGCTATTCATTTCTTGGAAAATGGAGAATGGGTTATGGAGAACTTGTTTGTTACTATTAAAAATAACCATGATGACACCCGATATCATGACAGGGAGGGAATGGTTAAGAAAGTGCAGGTTAGTCTTGAGCAGTGTTTGAAATGGTCATAATGAACACTTAGAATGGTCGATGTCAAGTACTCCTTACGGATTATGATGATCTTGTCGATGCTGACTTCGATCAGATTTTACCGGTTCGTCCTAAGGTTGATGATTACGTAAGTTTCGCATGTTTCTGTGAAATGTAATAAATGTTTTTTATAGACTCGGGTTATTTACGGAGATGAGACCGGATTTATGGGTCAATTGTTGTCTTGTGACGACGAAGAAGGATTAATAAAGGTATTTTTTTAAATCTTATATTCGTGAAGCTATCCATGAATGCGGTTTCAGGGTGCTAATGACAAAATGAAGATGGCTCCCGTATCGTTATGTTGTAAAATGGAGGGATAAGATGAAATCAAATATTGATATTTTCTGACTAACTTTTCATGTTTTGGGATCTTTGTTTTTTGTTCTTATTAGGCGTCAGACTATAAAATATAATAGAATCTTCGAGACTATAATGTCTGTTTAAATCGCTCCCACAGTCTCTATTGTTGTCATCATAAACTTTCCTATGACTTCTAAATAAATTATTTGCTTCCTGCTACTTTTCTCGCTAGATCAAATTCTCTTGATTTTCATTCGATTGTTTAACCTTTTCTATTCATCTTCTGGTGCTTCTGCATGTATTTGTTCAAGTTAGGGCTGAAAACTTATGAGTCTTTGGTACAGGTCGTGTAGTTCGATGAATATTCTGCTTCAGTAAATGATGTGTTTGCTCTTTCGCTCTCAAGTTGCCTACAATCGCCCTGTTTGAACTATGACATCCGTTTTGTCTTCCTCATCCTTCTTGAGAGTCAGATCGTTCGCATTAGTCTCTTGCCATATCAGAGCTCCCGTAGTACGCTGTTCATTATTCCAAATATGTTCGCGACAGAGATTGACCTATCAACGAAGTTTCACCGATTAATAGATCAGCTCAACACTTAACATCTTGTCGAAGTTGTAGTTATTTGCTCAAGACCAAACGGTTAAGCATGCTACCGCGTTTATTTGGTGAACATCGGTTATCTTTAGTCAATTGTCATGCTTTCTAACGTCTATTCTGCTTACTCTTACATTGAACAGTTCTGAATGCGACAGTTAACTCGTTTTACGCTTTCTCTTGTCGTCTCCGCCTGGAGTTCAGCTGGAGTCAAACATGTTAACCTCTCATATCAAACACTACAAAATTGCACAATGAATGCAACCTCTCTTCTGCTCATTTTCTAACATATGTTTCTCAACCGCCCCATTTTCATTATTTCTCCTTTCCACGTTTCTCACGTTTATACGTGTTCGTTCTGAACTTACTACGTGAGCAAATTATTCATTACATTAGTTGTGTGAAATAGTCTTGGTTCGTTTAACTCGTCAAAATACGATTACGTATTGTGTAGTCTTAATGACTTTTTGGACACCATTCTCCTTATAGTAATGATGCTCTTAACTTAAGGTTTATGTGTATTAGCATACGAATGTTTAAGTGCATGCATTGAAAACATTGTTCACGTTTTACTACATCATTTAAAAATCTAAGAAACATTGATTAAACAAAACTTTGTTCAAGCTTCAAACTGTTTGTCATCGACCTGTGCACTTCATTTTTCCTTTCTCATTTTTTTCCTCCAACCAGTTTCCCGCGATTATTTCGTTCGATAGAACTTATGCCTTCGTTTACTCGTACAGCTATTTTTTGAATAATGGAGAGGAAGAAAGGAAAAAATTGTTTTGAGATTCCGATTTATTTCTTTTTTAGAACTAGATATATAACGTATTCTTGATCAATTAAAAGAATTATCTGGTGTTATATCCATACCGGTCGCTGAGCGATTTCTTATTCCCACCTATGTTTACTTATCGAACTCGTCATTCGGGCTTCTGTTGACGAACGTTGACGAGCTCAACGTTGACGAGTCTAGTGTCGGCATCCGTTTCGGTCCGGCGAAGAAACTAAAGAAATGCCGAATGGTTCATGATGATCCATTGAACTGCTGCGTTCATTGACGTCATTTTTCATGTGCTAAATCACAAGATTTTTGATTATGTCCGGCTTCCCATTTAGACCACACTGCTCGATACTACACATTTCATTTAATTCGTATACCTGCTTGCGAATTTAGTTCTTTTGATACATTGTGAATGATAAAATAATTTATTTTCTCTTGCCATTACGTTTAACCAATTTATTAGCCTCCTATATGTCATTATTTAATCTGATCTACTGCTCTAGTTCAATCACGCTCTTTGTCGTCTACCTGCCATGTCCCCACCCTCACCTCAAGTGCTTTTTCCTCTTTCACTCAACGTGTTTTTGCTATTTTAGGTCTTGTTGTTAACTATACGTATAATAAAAGATTTATTTGAATCTTTAGTATAATTATCTATCCATTCAAAATCAAACAGCCACCACAATTCTCTTTTTCGTAAGCTTTGCCGAACAACTAAGTCGTCTGTCATGATTTAAATTAACTTTCCAATTCCTTTCTGAAACTATTGCTATATGATGTAGTTTTTAGTTTTATAACTTTATATATTTATTTTAAAACATTCTGTATTAGATTACCTTATATGAGGGAGAAGAGAAATAGAGAGAGAGAAAGAGGGAGAGAGAGAGAGAGAGAGCGCGTTTGAAGCCTGCCCAAAGACTTCTTTGGGTAGTTCTTTTTGCTTTCCGTTCCATGTCAACTTCCTCTCTTCTTTCTTTCTTCATCTCTTTTTACCTTTATTTCTTCTCTCTTTCTGTTAGGATTGCATATCCTCTCTTTGTCTCTCTTGATCTCTCCCAGCTTCTGTCTCTTCCTACCTCTCCCAACCTTGCCCAATCCCTCAATACTTTGGTATTCGTTTTCAAATCTTCTCGATCAAAGTTATCTAATGGAAAAGCGATATATTCATTTAAATTTTTCATTTTCTTTCTCTCTAACTATACACATATATACACGAGCTTCTCCATATATCTGCATATTCTCACATTCCCTCCCCCAGGCAACGAATCGATCTAATTCTTTCCCTCAACAACGGTTTCCCAGCACTTGGCCAGGTACTGAGGTATTCGTTGAATGCAATAATCATTTTATCTTCTGATCTCATCATATTCATCTAATTAACAGGAATTTTTAATTAGAATATTTAAGTATCATATCTGTTTAATCAATATTCACTAAAAATTTTTATTTTTTTGCAATGCACTACGATTTCCTGTGGGAATACCTATTTTGGATTTTCTTTCTTGCTTCCCGTTCAACGGCATCTGAGTTGAAGCCAAACTTCAGATAAGTACAATTGCCCTTTCCCGGTGTTCTATTCAAACCAATTTCCATATCAGAGAGCTTCCATATGAGTTACCACCTTTTCAGTCAGTTTAGTTTCCATTACATTCCATTTTCCCACATCGTTCTTTTGAAATGAGATGTAACCTTTATTCATTTTTACATTATTCATAGTTGTCCACACTATTGAGAAGGCTTAATACCTTTTAATTGTCATCCACAGGAAGATCGTTCATTTCCATTTGTTTGTCTCTCTCATTTAAGTTGTGTAAAATGAAATTTTATTTTTCTCTCTCTGTTTCCTGGATATTACAAAATGCTGTTACCCAGAGATTCTCAATAAACTTCCATATTTTCAGTCTCTCTTTGAATTAAAAAAAAAAAAACTTTGAATATTCTCTGAAATAGTTCGGATTCGAAGACTTCACTTAACGTCTACGTGGTCATTCAGAATATGTGAGAACGACAACATCGCCAATCAAAGTTAATCTACAAAACCTTCTATTCATGGGTATGTTTGTTATTATTTATTTCGTTTGATTTGTCGTTTTTGCAACTGTTTTCTTCATTTATGGTTCATTACATTAGTTTATGCACTTCTTATGATTAGTTTGCTATACAAAAAGGTAATTCCGCTCGAAACATCCGTCTGAATTGTCGTTATCTTTTCTTCATTTTCGTTCGCCCCCTCCTCTTCCACCTCTCTAACATTCATTCTCTCTCTCTCTTTCTTTCGCTCTTTTTGTCAACAAATAGAAACTCCACTAAGCATTTCGTAAACCTTTTGGCAGAAATTCTTTTTTTTTTCAATTTTCGAACACACTGTCAGCTCTGGCTCCATTTGGCCGATTATTTGCTTTGTGATTGCATTTAACCCTACTAAACGTTATATTTCCATATTTGTTTCTTGTACAAATACCTGATGATTCATTAAATTGGAGAATTTCATATCTCTTTCACTCTCAATCATAGCTGCATCTTCCTCATTTTCAAACCGTCATTGTTGTTCTACATGTCAATCCAATAGTTTGTAAAACAAGTGTTTTTTTCTGCTTCATGATTCCCATGGAAACGACGCCTGCTTCATGATGACGATGAAGTCAGCGAAAATTTGATTTTTTTTCTCTTCAAATTTCCTTTTCATTACTTTTTTTTGCTACAATTTTGCTTTTTTTTATACTATAACCATACAATTACTTGAAAGTCCTTGTTTCGAACATAAAAATGATAAAAATTCAATTATGCACTGATGGCTTTTGAAAAGAAGAAGAAGAAGATGAAAAAAAATGAAAAAGCGAACAATCACAACGATCTGTCCGTCTATCTATTCTTCAAATGAACTTCAACGTTCCGAATATTGTTTCACGTGAAAACGTCTCACATCGTCTATTTTCCCACATGTTCCAATTTCCGTTTATTAATTTAAATAAGCAGAAAAAAATCAATAGATTATCAAGTAATGAGAAATAGTAATGAATATATGAATCAAAATTTTGCTTGAGCCGTATTGTTATCATGGTGATGAAGAGACTGACGTGTGCTCTTGAGCTTATCAGTTCAATGAGCATATACGTCTGATTCATCGATTCTGCCCTTGTCATCATCAAATTTTGTGGCTCTAAGAGAGGGTACGCACTCTGAATTTGTGTTTCTATCTATGTAGACAGCGTGGATTCTTATTTCTTTTAGTTTCATAAAATATTTTTCATATATATCTTTTTTTGTTGAGAAAAAAGCTGATATAACTGTTGAAAACGTTGTTGAAGTGAAACGATTGTTCATCAGGCTCACTCCCTCTCATCCTCTCTTTCTTTTCAGCTTTTGGCTTCATATGAATTCTTTCTATTTCCAACTGAGGACAAAAAAAATTTTTTTCTAATTCAAAATCTGTGTTTGCCTCATATTTGGTCAGCTTTCATCCCTCTCTCTCTCTCTTTTTCTTCATTTCTGTAAATTCAATGAAAATTTCCTATTTCCATCATTGATTTGGAACGAAAGTTCAGATGTTTTTTTTGTTTTGCCCGAATAGGTTTCTCTTTTTGTTCAAAGAGAAGAGATTGATTATGATCGTTCCAGCTTTTCGTTTTCGAAGCAAGTTCCGTTAGAATCGATTGATTTCAACTTTTCCGGAGAAATCGAAAGTAAATAGTAATTTGAATTCAGTCGACGATCCTTTTTTTGTCTATCTTGGATAGTTTCGGATTATATGCAGATAAATGAATTGAGTGAAATGATAGAGTGAAACCAAGAGAAGAGATTGAGAGTAGGAGAGGGGGAGGGAAATAGAGAAGTCACCAAACGGAGAGAGAGAGGGAAAGTGATGGAAGAAGGGAAAGCAAAAAAGAAGAGAAAGTGAAGAGGAAAATGAACGAGACCAACCAACTCTTCATTTCCAATCAAAATACGAATAGTTTTTGGGAGAATTGTGAGAAAGTCTTTCCGCTTGCCATAGTTGTCTGCAGCTAATCCGATTTGCCGACAGTTTCATGCAAATATTGCCCTATTTGGAGTCACATAATATCATCGAAATACGTGAACGAAACTAATTTTTGCTATTTAATTATATTTTTAACTCTTTTCCAACATATTTGATTGAATAGATGATAGTAAAGATGAAACTATCATTTCATGTGCTCATCATACTTATTAAAGCTTACTTGATGGAATGCTTTTGAACATTCCAATAATGAATCTTTTCTCTCTTTGATACTGACGTAAAATGAGTGTCTAGCATCTTGATGATTCAAATAAATGAAACTGTCTTGAACGAAAATGAAATAACCTGTTTTCACTTTTTTTTAAAATTTCCATTTTTTCAGCATCAGTAGCGCCAACGGAGGGCTCTCGTCCCATCTACGTGGACGATCCCTTGAAGAGAAGTGAGTTATCTCTGTTTCTCTCTCATTCTTTGTTATAAAATGGATATATTGTAGAAACAAATATGGAAACATCAAAAGTTCCTTGGTATCGAAAGTTGATGTTTTGGAAATCATCAGATGATCCACGCTCAAAAGGTTTTTGCATATAAACCAAGACATATGACTAATAAGCTTATGTTACAGAAAGAGAGAGACATCTACGAGCAAACGATAGAAACTTTAATGCTCAATTTAAATATGCCGTAAGCTTCTAGTAATACCGTAATCTACTAATCTATCTCAATTTTCAGGATAATTATATTAAAACATCGAAGTATAACTTAATCACTTTTATTCCTCAGAATCTGTTTGAGCAGTTTCAACGAATAGCTAATTTTTATTTTTTAGTCTTAATGATATTACAGGTTAATAAGATTTGTATTTTAGACTACAATATGATATTTTCAGTTTGTTCCGCAAATATCTTCCATTTCCTGGTATTCTACAGCTATTCCATTAGTTATTGTATTAGCTTTTAGTGCCATCAAAGATGGTTATGATGATATGGTAAGTTAGCATTAGATACGTGAAATGCGTGGGTGCGTGGATTACGTGTATACGTGTAAACATTGTATTTTATTTATTTTTCGCATGTAATGTTAAGCGGTTGATCAAAGTAGCTTCAAGTTCTAAATTGATTTTCATAATTAAATTTTATTGAAATGAAATGACTAGCTCTTGAAATAGTGATTCATACAGTAGTTTCTTATCTTCTCATTTCAGCAAAGACATATATCTGATAGTAATGTTAACGGTCGAAAGTCATTTGTTGTCCGCGATGGGCATTTAAATGAAGATGATTGGAGTAAAGTTAAAGTTGGTGACGTCATCAGAATGATGAGCAATCAGTTTGTAGCGGTAACTAGTACACAAAAGCCAATATTTCTAATGTTTTCCTACTTCAAGGCTGATCTTTTACTTCTTTCAACGTCTGAGCCTCATGGTATTTGCTATATCGAAACAATGGAGCTGGATGGTGAAACGAATTTGAAAACACGTGGAGCTGTGGCTGATACTGCTGAGATGGGGGATGATTTAGATGCTATATCACGTTTCAATGGTATTATATAATGGCATTTGACAAATTTGTTAATTGAATGTAATATAGGAGAAGTGATATGTGAAGCACCCAATAATCGTTTGGATAAATTCACTGGAAAGCTCACCTGGCAAGGACGAGAACTAGCTATTACTAATGATAACATTCTACTACGTGGTTGTATTCTGAAAAATACAAGATGGTAAAGATACATGTACTACTGTGTGAAGAAAAATGTTTTATTTGCAGGTGTTATGGTGTCGTTATCTTTGCTGGAAAAGATACAAAGCTTATGATGAACAGCGGTAAAACCAAATTCAAGCGTACTAGTCTCGATAGATTTTTGAATATCTTGATTATGGGGGTAAGATTGATACTGAAACAGTAGTAAAGCTAAACGAATATGAATATTCAGATTGTTTTATTTCTTGTTGCTATGTGCCTTATTTGTACAACATTATGCGGTGTTTGGGAATGGACAACGGGAAGACATTTCACTATGTATTTACCTTGGGATGATGTTGTGCCAAATAGAGAAAAACAAGGTTAGCAATATATGAATCAGAGAATATACTATAAATGTAATTATTAAGGATCTCAACAAATAGCCGTTATTGCATTTTTAACATTTTTTTCATACGTCATTCTTCTGAATACAGTCGTGCCAATTTCGTTGTATGTAAGGTATGTAATGGCTTCTCGATTATTTCATTATTCAAACCAAAATTACAAATGAATATTAAATTTTCAGTGTGGAAATCATAAGATTCATACATTCATTATGGATTAATTATGATCAGCATATGTACTTTGAAAATGGAGAAAAAAGTATTCCAGCGAGGGCTCATACAACCACCCTTAATGAGGAATTGGGCCAGGTCTATATTTATTTCATTAATCATTTCTTATTCATTCATTTTTATAGGTTCAATACGTGTTTAGTGATAAAACAGGAACTTTAACTCGAAATATCATGACATTCAACAAGTGTACTATAAATGGTATATCATATGGCGATCTTGAAGATACTCAAGGAAATCCTATTGAAATTTCCGAGGTTTATCATTTCTGATTATTTAGATCTTAACTTCGAAATTTGAATTTCAGCGAACGCAACCTCTTAGTTTTGCTTGGAATGCCAATTATGAACCCAATTTCAAATTTTATGATAAAAAACTGTTACAAGCAACCCAGAATGGAAACGTTGAGGTCTTGTTGATGCCAAAAATGCTATTTCTCAAAACCATATTTATAGGTTACTGAGTTTTGGAGGCTTTTGGCTCTATGCCATACAGTGATGCCTGAACGAGATAAACAAGGCAACCTAGTTTATCAAGCTCAATCTCCGGATGAGGTTTCACTTTAGTCTTCGGACTATTTTTAGTATTTTTTTTGAGGCTGCTCTCACAGCTGCTGCTCGAAATTTCGGATTCGTTTTCCGATCTCGTACACCTCAGTCGATTACGATCGAAGTCATGGGAAAAGAAGAAGTTTATGAAATTCTCTGCATTCTCGATTTCAACAACGAAAGAAAAAGAATGTCAGTAATAACTAGAAATTCTGCTGGAAAGATTCGACTTTACTGTAAAGGAGCTGATATGATGATTATGCAAAGGTCTTTTTCATTTGCACCGTATGCACTTCAACCAATCTCGTTCACAGATTACACCCAACAACTTCCCACATTTTCCGAACTTCAACTGAGCAACATTTATCAGAATTTGCTAATATTGGTCTTCGAACTTTGTGTTTGGCTTATAAGGACATCGAATCTGCCTATTTCGAAGATTGGATTGTATGTCAAATCACATTGTTTTTTCTCATTCACTCTCTTACTTTCTCAGAAAAGGCAACACGCAGCTGCCATAGATATGGTGAATCGAGAATCTTTGCTTGATGCTGTTTATGAAGAAATGGAAAAAGGTTTTTCGTTGTTGATAGAAATGGCTGTAACACGTAGTGCGATTCTAGATATGACTCTGATTGGAGCAACAGCTATCGAAGATAAGCTTCAAGAAGGTGTTCCAGAGACGATTGCTAGATTAGCTGATGCTAACATCAAGATTTGGGTCTTAACTGGAGACAAGACGGTTTGAAGTTCTACCCGTTCATTTATCTCAAATCTGTTTTTTTCAGGAAACAGCCATCAACATCGCCTACTCCTGTCGCCTTCTAACGGACGATATGCGAGAGATCGTGGTTATTGATGGTCAGAATGAACATGAGGTTCGTCTGAATAAATGTTTAGCCTGATCAACATCAAAACAATATTTATTTAGGTGGAAGTACAATTGAAAGCAACAAAAACCAGATTTGATAGTATTATGGGAATGGTAAGGATAGATTATGAATCAACAAAAAAACGTTTTTGTATTCTTGTTATATGCACGATCCTTTCGAAATTGAACCTCTACCCTTCTTGCACTCACACAATCGTACACACTGGTCACACCTCAGTTATCCCTTTATCTCCCCATACCTTCAAAACAGAACGCAAAAAAACATAGGAAATTAATGATCTTTCCTCGACAAATCACAACTATCTCTATCGTCTCTCTTGTTTCTCAGAAGCCTTATGCTCGACAACATGAGATTCGGAAAACTTCAACTGTTGAACGATACATCAACGACGTCATCAGAATTCTGGAAGAAGCTGAGATGCAGAAGAAATCAGATTACGTCCGAATTCAGGTTTCAAAGAAACAACGCCTAATCAGTGCTTGGATACAAATAAATTTAACATGTTTTCATATTAACACACTCACTTTTATTCTTTAATTTTATGAGTTTTGTTTATTCACGCTTTTCAGCATTTTCCTTTGTTGAATATTTTTATCTGAAAATTCCTCATTTTCAGAATCCAACTCCTACTTACGAAAAGCCGCGCGTTGAAGTTCAAACGATTAATGAAAATGAAGAAGTCAATTACAGTAAGCTTGCTTACACTGTCTCGTTATTCTAACATTCCTTAAGGCTATCATACCCAAACAGCTCCAGATTCACCTAGAGAAGAGAGTGGAGTTGCTCTAGTCATCAATGGAGATTCCCTATCATTTGCACTGGGCGAACGTCTTGAAAGAACATTTCTGGAAATTGCTTGCATGTGCATGGTAATTCATTGCTACAAATTAATTTTTCTTATGATATATATGCTTAGGCTGTCATCTGTTGCCGAGTTACTCCACTTCAGAAAGCTGAAGTTGTTGATCTGGTCAAAAGAAACAAAAAAGCTGTGACTTTGGCCATTGGTGATGGAGCTAATGATGTTTCCATGATTAAAACAGCTCATATTGGAGTTGGAATTTCAGGTTTTTAATTATTATCTTTTCAAAACTATTTACCACCCGAGTGGAAAGTAGATGATGTGAGAAAAAATTGTTTTTGATGTGAATTTTAATTTTTTCTTTTTTTTATTCGAAATTGTTAAATTGTCTTTTTTCAGGCCAGGAAGGTATGCAAGCTGTATTAGCATCCGACTACTCCGTAGGACAATTCCGTTACCTAGAGAGACTGTTGTTAGTTCATGGAAGGTTTGTAAATGGTTTTTTCAATTTTATTTTATTTTATTAAAGATGGTCTTATATTCGAATGGCCAAGTTTCTCAGATATTTCTTCTACAAAAATTTTGCTTTTACTTTAACTCATTTCTGGTTTTCATTTTTCTGTGGTTATTCTGCTCAGGTTAGCGTGTTTTCATTTATTTTTATCTTAATTATCGTTTTACAGACCGTTTTCGATGCTGTTCTCATCGCCTGTTATAATCTGTTTTTCACAGCCCTACCTGTTTTAGCCATGGGTGCTCTAGATCAAGATGTTGACGATGTGTACAGTTTGAGGTATATACAAATATACTTCATTATCAATCTTACTCTCACAATTTGAAGATATCCAAAACTTTATCTGCCGGGTCAGTTCAATTTGTTTTTCAATATGCGTATATTCATTTACTCAGTACTTCATGGAATGTTCAGGTTTGATTTCATTTTACAGATCCCGAGTATAAAAGTTAATCGTTTCAGCTCACTTGTTATTTTCTTTGTGCCTTATGGAGCTTTCTACAACGCTTCAGATCATAAGGGTCGAGATTTAGATGATTATGCCTCATTAGGTTTGACTACATGTTCTCACTCATCATTCCCTCACTTTCTTTTTTCCAGCTTATACAACGTTCACAGCTTTAATTGTTGTTGTTACCGGTCAAATAGCTTTTGATACTTATTATTGGACGTCAATTAATCATTTTGTCATCTGGGGTTCACTTATTTTCTATTTTCTGCTCACTTTCCTTATTTACGAAGGTACGTTGAAGGTAATCCATTGGCTTCACTCAATCACGTTCTACTTGTAGGTCTACCTGTTTCATTAGTTGCCAAAACATCTTCAACTTCATCATACGGCGTCGCATTTAAAACTATGGCTACACCTCATTTCTGGTTTTCAATTCTTATGGTAAAAATTGTTTATTCAGCAGTTCACTTCAGAAAAATCATTGTTTAGGTCTCCGTCATCTTGCTTTTACCTGTTATGCTCAATCGCTTCTTCTGGCTCGATACTCATCCATCGTTCGCTGATCGCCTACGTGTTAGACGTAAATTGGGTAAAAAGGCTTCTGCTCAACAACCCGATCTTAAAAAGTAAGTCCCTTTTCAACATTCTAAAGTTTATTTTCCGAGACAGGATCTAAAATTTTAAATAACAAATGAATAGCTAACCTGGGCTCTGATGATTAATCGCCTTCTTTTTCAGGCCAGCAATTCGACGTACGGCAACGACTCGAAGAAGTGCCAGAGGATCTTTACGATCTGGATATGCCTTCTCCCATTCACAAGGTTTCGGAGATCTTATTCTCAAAGGAAAACTTTTCAAAAATGTTGATCAAATTCGCCAACGATCAATGTACGCTTTTGTTTTTACTCTTACCTGTATACCAAGTAACGGTTTTCAGTAATCCAGACACCTCTGATGACACGCCAAATCTGTTATCACCTGTTCCTGCAGCATTGCAGCCAGGATATGAAGTTTGTTCTCATACATTTTAAAATACTAAACCATATTTCTTTAGCATATGTCATCTACGGGTGTTCCAATTATGACATTGCCAGTTGAACCGACAGCTGGACGTCATCGTTTAACCGTAAATTCGGATCCAAACTGGTACGTGAAGAGTGACATTCACTATGAATCATAAAGTGAAATATTTCTTCTGATTTTAAATGAATTTTGCAGGACGTTGGATGCTCATCCTTCCAGTACGCAAGGAATCCAATTAAGGGGTGATGGACAATCATTTGAGACGCAGGTATAACTGAATGCTATGAAATAGCCTCATCTTTCGTGTGTTGTGATTTCTATGTTTGTTTTTGTATATTTTTTTCTGTGATTTTTCGGTCAGCATCACCCTATTAAGTTTCCACACATACTGTATCATATATGTTTATCACCATATCCACACAAGCTCTCCCTGTAAGCTCATAAGGGTTGCCTGTATCCTTCTTTATTTCTTGCCACTTTCTTAGTTTCCTGTCGTTAGGTCATTCTACTGTCACAAAGCTTCGAACGGATTGTGTGCTCATTGCTGGTTAACAATCTGTTCAAAGATCGTCTTAAGTGTGTTGTGATTGTCTATTTTGTTTTTTTTAATTACTCAGAAAGATCCAAAACGTTCTTACTCTTAGGCATATGCTACTTCTGAAAGTGAAGATGATCAGACAATCGTTGAACGCTTCTAACCATTGCCATCAAAAGCTATTTCAATATATCGTTTTGTTATAATATTCTCACACAAAATCCTATAAGCCATATGATCTTTTCCCTTTCTTATCATTTTACACAAACACAAAAACAGTCTGCTAGTCAATCTCATTCTTCTTGAGCTTAATTACTTAACTTAATTTAAATCAAAAGATAATTTGAGAAGTACATACATGTATCTATTAGATCCTCTAAAGGAAATCATTTTCATATTCATTTGCGAGCTTCTGAAGCTTATTGTTCTCTTCTTTTCATATTTTAATTTTGTAAATAATTGTTTTATAATCTTTCTTATATTTCACTCAAAATTGTGATATGACGTGTGATGGGGTTTTTCTCTTATTTCTTTTCGTGTACTTCAGATGTTTTTATTAAGAAAATTTGAAAAAAAAGAAAAATAAAAGATTTCTATTTGCATTATAGTAATGATAGCAATCAAGCTTTTGCTTATTAAAAGATTATACATAACTAGTAGATGCTGTTTTATCCTGAATCTTATCCTTATCTATCTCATCTTTGCATAGATTTTTGATATTTAAGTGAGGAATATTCTAGAACATAATGTTTGCAATATGACTAACAAAGTTATTCTAATCTGTCTCGTATGTGTTACTCTTTTTGCAATCGCTGAAGGATGTGGAGCTAAACCAAAAGGTTTCATTTCTAGTTATTACGTTTCATTATGTATTTCTTACAGATCGACCAAGTAAATCATCTAGAGAAGATTCAAAAGAAATGATGAAAAAGCCTAAACCACCCAAAATGTCTGGGTCAATGGAGGATAGATCAAAACGCTCCATACCAGATAAAGATGATTCGGATCGTGAATTGAAAAGAATTTTCCCATCTCAAGTCAAAGGAAGATGGGCTAAGTCCAAAATGCGACTTTGAGAACTTAATTTATTCGAATATAACAAGTGAATAAAACTATTTTACTTTTCCTTCTGCAAATCGGTCAATGCACTTCAGGAGAAACTTCGTATGATCAGAATTGTAGGGGTTTTAACGAAACATGTAGAAATCGACAAGAAAACAGGTGGAAAACAAATAATTCCTTATTAGAGAGAAGATTCATCTCTTTCAATGACACTTAATTGACAGGAATTCGTTTTTTGATTTTTACATTTGTTCAACAAAGACACAAAACACCAAGCATTCTGATGTAACAGCACAACCGCACACCCATTTCGTACAACTGAGAATGAAATTTGCACGAATATTGCGTACAACGTGTAAAGCAAAGAAATAATGGAGCAGTTTGAAAACAAATGCTAAATAAGATGTAAAAAGTTGTTTGTATTTAATTGGGGAGTTTGGTATCAACCTTCATAAACGACATTAGAAGGCCATACAATCTAACCTGTTCTGCTCAGACATGCGTTCTCTTCCTAAGCAATACTATTCATGATGAAAATGTATATATTCAAATAGAATATGATATTGAATAAGCTATATAGGAAAAGAGCAAAAAAAAAAATGAAATTTCAGAAAGTTTACTTATCGTTTCTTCAATAGTTAAGCAGCTTACTTCTTTTCAGCTTTTGAAAGAAGAAGTTCAATATGTCTTTCCTTTATTTCTCTATCTCTCTCTATCTCTCTATACATTTTACTCTCTTTCATTCTCTTTCTCTAACTATTGATTGTAATATCCGTGTTTTTTTGTGTAAAAAATTGTCTATTGGCTTTTATTCACTTTCTGTATTTTTGTCACAAAAATCATTTCAAAAGAATTCCAATCATTTTCACATGACAAATGTTGTCTTGAAAAGCTTTCACCTTTCCGGTTTTCATTCGTAAAGGACTTCCCATCTTTCATTTTCATTTAAATTACTTTTATAGAAATGGTTTTATTTGATAAAGTGCCAATTCAAGAATATTTTACTAATTTATTCAATTATGACGTTGAATATGAGGAAACGAATCCAAACTATCGATGTCTTCGAGGAGCTTTTCACGTTGTTGTAAGCATTTTTCTATTTTTTCTTTTAAACAGCTGATCAGTAATCATGATGCTATACTCTCATTTTGTTTTTAAGAATGTCATGAAATTCTTCATGGTTCTGGAGTTTATCACTATTTTCATTTACGTCTTGACAGCTTTTCCATACTTCCTTTTATGGATAGGTAAAACAAAAAAATCAGAATTCCTTAATTTGCATAACATTGTCGTTTTGAAGGTTTCCACTTACTATATATTTTCGTGACCTTGTACGGTTTAAAAAAGGAACGACATCGTTTTCTATGGCCAGCTGTTATACTGGCAGTGAGTTTCGTCTATTCATCATATCTTATATTCAAATATCACAGGGCATTATTTTCCTCTTATGGAGTATAGTCGCTGTCATAAAGTTCTTAATAGGAATGTTCAACACGGACTATTTCTTAAAACTATACGGTCAAGGTATCATGGTATACAATTAATTGGCATCTCTATGTTATACTTTGAGGTCATCATGAAGACTTCTGGACTCGTATGCTCATCGTTTTGATTATAAAAGCTGTTGTCTTGTTGACTGGTGCTATCATATTCTGGAGAGTTTCTGTTTTCCATACAACCAGAAAATATTTTGAGGCTAAAGCTGACGGAGAAATTGTTGTCACGAATCCCGATGAGGCGACTGGTCTCGATAAATTAATGCAACCTGTCTAACGTCTAAGAACGTCACAATTCCAAAGAGAAGCCCAGAAAATACTGTTTGAACTCAGGAATACTTTTAATAAATCTTTCTAAAAAAAAGTTTTTTTCGTAATAGAAAACGTATAGCTAGTTCGAAAGCCATCTGCCATACGACGCAATATAGACATATCCATTCAGATCATATTATTTAGGTTGAGCTGGGATTCAGAAACGGAAAAAAGCATGTAAAACTATTCTGAAATGTCAGTAGAACATTGTATGTTTCATACTTTGCATAAATTAAGAAGGGGAAAGCTAAGAATGTATTCTTGTGACTTCTCGACGTTGACCATGAATGGATAGTAAGGACTCGCTGTCTGGCTAGAGAAGCATCAGAAGTGCGTAAGATGAGCCGATTTTTCCCACGTGAGAGCCCAACAGAAGCAGATATTATTCAGTAGGAGACAATTAGCGTTTCGAGACCTTCATTGCCTGCTTTCACAGCTTTTCGGGACGGTCGAAGTAGCTTTGACTGATCTTTTTCCATTTCCCACTTTTCCGTTATTCATACAATTTATTTCCTGGTAATTTTGGAGTCTCTTTTGCAGTTTATAATATTAAAAATAGAGCAGTGAATATGATCAAAGCTGATGTGCCTTGCTTGGTCTGTGGGGATCGAGCTTCCGGTCGTCATTATGGTGTTATCAGCTGTGACGGTTGCCGTGGATTCTTCAAAAGGTTTTGTTTGAACTTCTCCACAGAAAATTATGCGAATTGAGTTTTTCAACAAAATGAAGCTCTTTTATAGATCAATCCGTCGAAACTTAACATACTCATGTAAGGAATCAAATGATTGCGTTGTAGATGTTGTTCGTCGGAACCAATGCCAATCCTGCCGCTTTCGTAAATGCATTCAAGCAAATATGAACCGTCACGGTAATTCATACGGGGATAATTACAATTATAGAAGTTGATATTTGACAAGTAAAAAGTAAGAGAAAGAGATCTTTGTGAAGAGCATCGAGTTACGGTAGCGTGAGACTAAGCCGAAGTCCTTTCTCACGCCCAGTGTCACGCCAAGAGCGGTAGACTTGCATCCGATTAGCCAATGCTCAAAAGAGGATTTAGTAGATTGGCTTAGAAGTGTAGAGAGAGAAGAGAAGAAGAAGAAACTATCTCTCAAAATTGATCTTCTGGTATAACTAGCGAGTTTTAACATTCTTTATCTCCATGAGTTCATGGCTAAAGGGCAAACGTATCCATATAGTTCAATAGCTTTTTACTTCCAGCCGTTCAAAATGAACGAATCTGCGTTGGACAAATTCGCTCATCTCCAAAAACGGAAGCTAAAAGGTACCAAAAAGCAAAGGAATGTCTCAAAAACCGCGATTTAAGAATTTCAATCTCCTCACTTACTAGCGACCGATGCTCAAAAAACCTCGAAAAACGTAATCCCTCATTATTCTATAGCGACAAAGTACTTTCAAATTGTATTTGCAGGTGATTTTTCAATCGAACGACTTGTTTCATGTCAGAAAATAGATTATTTATCCCAATTGGCTCAATTGATAAGCTGGTGGTCTGTCATTCCTCAAATGGCTTCACTGAACTCAAAAGATCGAAAAGTAGTTTGAGAGCACCTAGTCTCACTAATACTCAAAAAAACAATTTTTTTAAAGATTCTGTTCACTTCCTCATGGCATTCCTTACTTTTTTTTAATTTAACATGTCAGCGTGAAGTTTCTTTAGGTCAATTCAAATCTTCTTGTGAGCGGAAATCTAACTGAAAGTATTTCAGAAAAATATTCTGAAGAATTACGTCCATTAGCCCAATCTATCATAGATTTGAGTCCGTCCATACTCGAACAATGGGGAATAAACTGCTTTCTGCTCTTTAAGCCAGGTTAATATTCTAATTTAGTTCTTCTATGGACATATGTCTTCTTACTTTGCCATTTCAAGATGAGATAAAGTTCCCAACAAAGCTAGATGTTCAACTTCTACAAGGACAAGCTGCCGTTCTATTAGCAAACTGTCATACGGCTCGATTAACTTATGCCCAAACAACTAGTTCTCCAACCCAATTGCTCTTATTGGCTCCTACTTTGACAGTCCTGAACGCTAACGATGTCAGACAAATGTTTTTCCCAAAAAAATCCATTGAAGACATTGAAACATTTGTTCAAAGTGTTGTTCGATAGAAAATAAATAATATAAATTAGCATATTTTATTTATATGTAAGGTAATTCTCTTTCTCTTATACACTCCAATATGTTCTCTTTAATTCTCTCTCTCTCTACTTCTCTCTCTGTCTCCTTATTTTTCTTCTCCTAAAACCTTGACAGAGAGAGGAAAAGAGAGAACGGAAGAGGGACGCAGTGAATGCAAGAGATATCCGAGAAATAAACGACATGACACCGTCAGCTTTTCATTCAAAATTCATGCTTGCTGTACAAAGAAAAGTAAATACAATTTGTAGAGGTTTATAACCATTTTCACCTTCAACTTTATGAAGAATCAATAGAATTTTAGTGGAAAGTTTAGGTAATTTCAAGATATATATGTTGCAATTCCTCTGGTTCTCTTTTCCTTCCACTTCCACTTCCTCTCCCAATAACCTGAGCACTTTCTCACCTTATTATCTTTGAAATATCCCCCCCCTCCCTTTTCCTCTACCCTTAGACTGAGCTTTCATTTATCTCTCTCTCTATATCTCTCTATCTTTCTCCTTTTCTTTCCTTTTTTATGAAAACTTCGTATTCGTTCTCGTTTTCATTCTCTTTTAGTGTCATTATTACACTCCTACTTTTGCATTTTCTCTCACTTTTTATATATTTTACCTGCAGTCCTTCATTTTGATACCTCCCACTTCCTTACTCTCTTTCTGCTGCCGTCGCCTTCTCTTTCAGTGCTGCTCATCTACTCTCTTACCTCTTTTTTTCTCTCTTCCTCTCTTTATAATGAAATAAACAAGGGATATTTATTATTTTAGTCTGAACATTCAGTTCATTTAATGTAATTAAGCTTCCATTGTACATCATCATCGTTGTCCAGCGTTTGAAGAAAATTCAAAAGAATATTTTGAATATTCTAATTTCTCACGTGTATACGTCAAAAAGATGAATATTGATCAAACTTTCTTCTATTTCAACTTATATATGAGATAATAAACGGTTGATGTAAATATATATTTTATATTTTTAAACATTTAATTGTTTTGTACACATTTTATAGTTTCTCTTTTAACTTTTTCGATGATGAATTGTTCATCATCTTTGTCCATCCACTGGAGAAGGGATTAAAGTATGATGAAGAACAAGCTAAACCATGTGTTTTAGGAGGATTTTCTTAAATGAATTTTCCTCTCATACATTCTCTTTCATACTTTTTTTTCTTTCTCTCTCTCTCTCTCTCTCTCCCTCTCTCCTTTAGCCTTTCTTCAACTCCGTTTATCTATGTCATCTTCTACATTTGTACTCTTAGCTGTGAAGAGACTGAGCTCTTCCTCAAAAACATACATCCATACATACTAACATACATACATATGTAGATGTGTAAGTTCTTATAAAGTATATTTAACTATAGGCCCATGGACTAATAGAGAACACACTTTTTTCCTCTCGGGATGAATTTCACACTCACTAGCATCCTGAAAATTACTTCATTCATGCGATACTCCCTACACTCCTTCAAGCCTTTCCTTGCCAACTACCTCGTTTTCTTTTAATTTTGCTTGATTCTCTTTTCTGTTCCTAAGGAGTTTTTCTTACTAAAAACGAACGTATGATTGTTCCTCAATCTTTCTCCCTCTCTGACCTCTGCTTCCTGTACGATTCAACTTGTTTTCTCGTTTTACCTTCAGTCATTTATCCATATTAGTCAGAGGTTTTTTGTATTCTATTCTGAGCTAAAAGGAATGAAAGGCTGAAGATAATTAGCAAATTTGGCGATTAGCTATTCCCTTCATGGGTCATCTTCATATGAACAAATGGACGAAATTCAGATACTTGTGTATTCTGAAGTAGTAGAAGCCAAGACAGATGATGTTGAAGTTGCAAGCTTCTCACTTATCCATGTCTTTCTTCTACTTTTTTAGTAATTCTTCTCTTCCTATCTCTCTCCTGCTCCCTCTCTGTATGTGTCATCTAAGGAGAGAGAGAAACGTAGAAGAATATTTGAGAGATAGACTAGATGCATACGTGTGCAGTCTAGAAGTATGTTCTTCTAAAGGATAGAAAAAGAGGGAAAGATAATGTTTGAAAGAGACAATGAGTAGTAAAGGAAATGGCAAGCAAAGAGGCAGAAATATCATCTTCTTCAGCATGTTTCATTTCTTTAAACATCCATTATGTTAATTATAAGTAATTCCTTTAATAGGTATATAGCTGTTTCTCTTAAAAAAAAGCAAAGAAGAAGTACATCGCTGAATGGTTTTCGAGCAGACAAAAACCATAAAAAGTCGGATAATGATGTAAAATATCTTCTTCTATTCATAAGACAACATTCATATTCCTCTCTTCACTTGGAATATCCTTATAAGCACAAAAATAACCTTTTTTCTTTTTCCATTCTCTCTATATTCCTTCCTTTTTCAATCAAAAAAATTTCATTTTTTTTCTGTTGACGTTCCGATCTGTCTCTCTCTCTCTCCTTTTCTTTCTTCCTCCCACCCTCCCCCCCTCTCTCTCTCTCCAAATAAATAAGAAGAAACGACGAATTATTATAAATATAAACCATTTTAATATTATGAATGAGTAAATAGACAAAATAAAAAGTTTTAAAGAAAAACAACGAGAATTTACTTATATTTTTCTTCCTCACCAATTAGAGCTTTTACTCCATTTGAGAAGCTTCCAATTGCTCTTCTTCTTTCTGATTCTTCACTCTTCGTCTCATTCTCCCACTACCTCTTACAATTATTCTCAACTCTCCCTTCTGTATCACTTTCTTTTCGAAAAATATTCTTTTTTTTTCTTTTTCTATCTTCAAGTCTTCAAAGCGATTCTCTTGCTATGAAATGACCTGCTAACATCTCTCTGTTTGTAAGTAAAGTATTCATGTGAGTTTGTTTGTCAATTCGCCTTCTACCTGTGTTTTCTTGTCGTTTTTTCAGAGCAAAAAAAAAACAATTTACATATCCATATATGTACATATATCTTCTGAAATTCCTTTTGTTAACTTATAAGCAATATACTTAACCATATATGATGTTTTTATAAATCTTTAGTCACATCATTCATTCTACCGCTTCGAGATTCTACTCTCCTTCTCATTCAATCTTCATATCATTTCCTTCTTTCTCATTCTATCTTTCTCCTCATAAATTGTGAAATTAATAAAGATTTAAATTTACTTCTCTTATATTTCTTGAATCTCATCTGAACTTTTGAATTATGTTATTACATCGTCAGATAGTTCGATATAACTGAAGCTTAAGCTGTCTTCTTTCCGAGCCCCGCCTCTCTCGTCTTTTGGCCAGCTCTTGTCACGGCTCATATACCTCCCGATGAACATGCTTTCCCTTCCCTCTTTTCTCAATTTTCTAGGAAATTATTGATTTCATTGCCGATTTTGTCATTTAATCACTTAGGAAATAAACCTGTCAGACATCTTTATTTCTTTTTTTCCGTATAAGCTATATCCAAATAGATATTTGTTAATTAGAGGCACCAACTGTTGTTGGTTTGAGTGTCTTGGCTTTCTGTCATTTTTCCGTATTTGAAGCAGTTATTGTCTTATATTAATTTATTTTTGACTAAAAAAATATTTCAAATATTAATATTTGCAGTTTTGTAAGTGGATGCCGGAGGATGGAAGTACGATGAACATGCAGAATGTTACAACTGTCCATTTTCATTCTACATTTAGCTTTTGTTTCTACATATAACTATAGCCCTAGAGGTTTTTCTTATTTCATCAACTTTCTAATACTCTTCTTCTCATTTCTTTAAGTCTACAGTGGAACTCAGAAATGCTATAGTTGTATGTCTCGATATTATGGAGCTACCTGGCATTTCGCAGGTTATGCTCGAATTTACCAAGAACCTCGGTCTTTCACTGAGTCATGCAGGTAAACTTTCACATTTTATTGCTTTAGCGTTCACCGCTATTTCTATACATAACTCCTTCTTCCTTTTCTGTTCACTTCAGCATTTGCATATTTTCAGAGATCCACAATCTCGAGGGTCAGACGTTCAAACAACACATTGCGATGATGACTCTAACTGTATTTCCATGGTTGAAGATTTGAAAATTGGTTAGCTCATTTTATATTTTCTTATAATTTTCATCTCTTTTTTTAAACATTTTTGCCTGTCAATTCTCAAATTACAAAGACAGAATAGTGTGAAGATGATTGACAAACGGGCAATCCGTCAAACTTTCCACCTTCAAAGAAATTTATATTTTGTTTTTGTTTTTATTTTTTTGGCGCTACTTCATTCAGAGAGAGAGAATGAGAGAGTAAAAGAGTTTAAACGAAGAAAAAAAGGAAATCCATAATGAGACATGTCTTCATTATCTTCTTTTTCTCATCATAAGCCCTTTGACTTAGTAATCCATAAGCTTCTTCTACATTCATGTCGTTCGCTTTTCCTTCTTTACTTATGAACTTTTTCTCTTCTTAAATCACTTCGTCTTTCCTTCTTTCTTTTTTTCCCTTCTCTTTCTACATCAACCAGCTAATGGTGAATCATCAAATGTTCAAGACAGATGACCGAATTACATTTCCTTTCTATCATCTTCTAGCTGCTCCTCCCACTTGTCAGCATGACAGCATTTCCCTTCAAATTCAAGCATACTGTAACTATCAGGGATCTACACAATCTTTTTCAGTTCTTGTCCTCTTTTTGACTTCAATTAGTTTTACTTATGACCATTTTTGTTCACCCAAAGTATATTTCCACTATGCTTTATTACTTTTTTTTTCTTTTCCTCCCAAAAACATCTTAAACAATGCAACACGGGGATTCCACGCCTTATAAATTCACCGACACGCCTGAATTGCTGATAAGCTGACCTGAAGCTTTGGAAGTAGGGGATTTCTGAAAAATCATTTCACAAAAATAGTTACCACATATACCAACAAAAACGTGAATGAAAGTATTGGAGAGAAAGCTAAAAAAGGAAGCATTTGGATAAAGAAATATCCTAATGAAGCGATTTGAGTGCGATCTTAGATCTGCTTGATGACACTTGACCCAATCATATGAAGTTGATTGACGAAATAATTGAAAGAATACAATTATCAATTGGTGTTTGAAGGTACCGGAGCCAAAGGATACATACGAGGATGTTGGAGTTCAATTCTTTTATTTGGTTTCAATCGTACATCAACTGTTGGAGCATTATCAACACATTCATTCTGTCATACATTTAATCTTAGCCAATTGGTTGCTGGTGGAAAACCACAAGAATCATCAGTCAGGTTAGTTGATTTTAATCCCTTTTCAAGTATATTTTATGACATGATCAATACTATTATAATCCTTAGTTATTCATAAAAAAAAAGATTAAAATCTCCTTGAAATAACAAATGAACAACATGTATTGATTTATATAGAGTTGTAATACGTTTTGATTGATTGAACATCTCATTCTTCTTCAATATTCATAACTTCAACGACAGGTGTATGTCAGCTTCTTCATTTCTTTTTTTTCTTCTTACACTTCTACGTACTTTTACTTATCTGTATACACAACCGCTTAGTACCTCTGCATTCATACAAATGAACCAAATGACAAGTTCACGTGTGATTTCACGTACGATTATCACATACATTTTTCTATCAGGAGGTCTTTCATTCTGCGCTACCGTAATCCGCTCATAGCGATAGTAGTGCGATTTCTGAACGGCAAATCAAAAGTCACACCTTCTACGTTTGGGTACATTCTATTCTTATGATTTTGATGACAGTTGTATATAATCTTCTTTATTAATTGAGACATGTTGTTACATTTAATGTAAGCTGGCACGTGTCGCTCATTAGTCAACTGAATATGTTGTTAACAACTTGCTGATAATCTTTCCATCAATCGTATGTGTTTCAGCGTTTGCTCATGTCGAGGATCTTTGTGCAATGGAATGTCCTTGGCATCATCATCGGCTTTATCAAAATCTTTCATTGTATTCTTATATGTTTTGCTCGTTAGTTCATTATGATATGTCTGTTTATAAGAAATAACAAAATTATATATTGATATATATATATATATATATATGTATTATACATATAATATATTATATTAGTTACATATTATTAAGGCTTCATTTATCTTTTTTTGTGCTTTTTCTTCTTCTTTTTTCACCGGGTTTTAACCTATTTTTGATGTTTCCTCGTTCTATTGTAATAAATATGTATGTCTGATTGAACTATGATAGTAACGTATCTATGATCTATGACTTGGCTCCCATCGGCTACGGACAAATCTTGAAACAAGTAAGTGATCTTCTGTTTATGTTTATTTCACCACGTGAATGGAATTATTTGCAATAAGCAAGTATATTAATACAAGTATAAGGAAGGAAATGCATTTGTGCGATGTGATATATTTTAAAATCTCAAAAACTTCCATATTTTCTTGAAAGTATAGAGATAATACTGCACCGACACTTCTGCTGAGCATATACGGCTCTACATTTCTATGATTCAAAAACATAGAGATAATTCTCAACTTCATTTACATCATATAAGTTTAAAATACAGACATAGAAGCAATTGAATTGAATTTTTAATTTCTTAGGTTAGAAATTTTCAAATTTTCAGTCAAAAACAACGGAAGACACGAATTATTCTAGAGTTCACACCGGAAGTTTTGCAAATTATCTTGAGCAACATGAATGGCAACTGCCTATCTCATCTTCTTTACTTTCCTTTATTTCCAACAGAGCTATTTCAAGAAACATAATGTTTTGGGCTTTTCATACAAAAAGGTTTCCTTTTCCATATTGAGAACTGGAACTTCATCACTCTGTCCCTCCAATTAAATGAAAACAAGAAAAACTCTGAGCCTGAAACTTGAAAGGAATTCAACTAACTGAAAGCTTCTTCTAGCATAGTAACGAGGATGATACCTTCTCATCAAGTTATGTAATTATTCAACTGTAAATTGAGTTTTCTATTTTTGAATTTTGTGTTAAAACGTCATCACTTACTCATCAGGTTTTGTCTCCAGTTGCGAAAAGATTCAAACTATTGTTTAACCAATTTATGAAACTATGACTGTTCTTGAAAGAAGAGTTTCGTGCAAATTTCTCAGAAACCTTTTCCCATTCAGAATGTCTTTGTATGAAATTCATAACTCGTAATCGAATTATGTTCTTCAGTCGTTGTTCACCTGTTCATCCAATTATCGAAGCTGTGAATTTGTACCGCGCATGTTCAGCTGAACTTTGGGAATTTGTTTTCTCTTCCAATAACTTGTTGACCCAGAGAAGTACGGAAATGTTTTGTATAAGTCCCCTGCTCGTGTTGAAGAAATTACTGAATTACGGATAAACGCATTGAACATTGAAATATAAATTTCATGATTGAAATTTCCGAACTCCAAATGAGTTATTTGTACTGTTAACTACATCCTACAACATGAATCTAAGTAGAACATGAACAGTAACTAGTGTTGTAATTCATTGGGTGTTACTGTTATCGCTATTGTTTGAATGATAAGCGAGAATTCTAAGAATGGAAGTGATGTGAGTGTATATTTGAAATAGAATTGAAGAGAATTATATAATTAATAAGTTTATTAATGTATAAAAGACAATGTTAACATGCATTTTATTGAATACAAAGTTATTATTAATAATAATAGTATAGGATACTGGAGCATCTTAAATAAAAATAAATATTTTGTAAACAACATATATGTACACTTATATAAATGAATGGAAGTATTTGAGAACTTTAATATAATAATTATAATAATGATAAATAAAAGGGGAAAGTAATACAGATACACACACACACACACACACATATACACACACAGGACGTTCATCGGTGCAAAAAGAAGAAGAAGAGTTGATGATGCTTCACAGGGAGGAATGTTTTGAAGCTTTTTCAAACGAGTATCAACACATTGTATTAGCTAATAGGCTAAAGCATAATGAATGTCGACCATATAAGGAAACTCTTCAGGTTATTTTCATTTATCGGATAAAATATAGTCAATGAACGATATATTGAAAGGTTCATTAAATTGATAACATTTGAATATGATATTAATTAACAGCATGAAGCTGATGTAATCAAAGTGTTAAATGCCATTCTAAACTAAGCTGTGTTACCCATTTAAGGACAAACTTCTTACGTTTTTTTTTTGGATTTTTTTTTTCAAAAATAAAATGATTCTTGTTCAATAGAAAAGAAAAATTTCATTTTTTTTATTTTATTAGGAGGGTTCAAGCTTTCGAATGAGATAAACTATTCTTTCATTATATCTAGTATGATTTCACAAATGGGCAATGTTCAGATGCAATGCGAAAAAAAAAGAAAAAAAGAAAATGAGAAATAGCCGTAAAAATGAAATAATTATTAAACTATTTTAATAAATATATGTAATTATATTAGAAAACAATATGTTTTCATATATTATCTCACATGGAGATATCTGTTAAAGAGATACGAATTTATCTCTTATAATTCATCTGAGAATCATATTCAACTTCATATTTGAATTTGTGTGTTTGAAATGGCGGCGAACAAGACAAAAGCAGAAGATGAGGAGAAAAAAAAAAGAATTTTTCTTTCCATTAATGGAATGATAAAGAATTACTGATAATGATTGTTGATTATTAAGAACTAGTTATATTCTGCCATCGCTGACTAATTGCTTAAAATCATCCCAGGTATCATTGGACCAGCCATAACCGGAAGCTTCTTTCTGGAAAAAGATATAATTTAAAAAATGATTTTTATAAAAGTATAATATTACCATTTCTGGCACATCTACAAACGAGGAATCTCCATCACATAAATATTTGCGGAAATCGTCTGTCGAAATGATTTGCTGAAATAATTAGAGTGCAAAATGAGGAATACACGTGTATGAACTTATTATATATATATATATATATGTATATGTATGGAAAAAAAATAATAGATAGAAGACAGAAATATATATATACTAACCGTACTAATTAGACCATCTACAACATCGATATCAAGACTAGCAGGTGCAAGAGACATCACATTGGCACAGTGCTGTTCTGGAGCTGAACAAACCGGATTAGTTCCGTTCGACTGCGAAGCTGGCGTATAAGGAGCAGAGCCTATGGAAAGAGGAAATTTTCTTCAAAAAATATACAACAAATAACGCGAAAAGAAAAGAACAAAGGCTTTTAAGAAACTGCTCATGCACATTTGGGTAAGTTTTGTTTTAAAAACTTTTTAGAAGAGTTTTTAAATTGTGATATATATATATATATATACATATGAATCACACACATATATATATATATATATATTTATATACATATATTAATATATATATATATATATATATGTATATGTTATTGTAAAAAAAAACTCACCGGTTAATGATGGGGTTTCCACGCTCCCATGTTGCTGAATTTGTGACTGATGTGGACTATTTCCATGTAATTGAGCTTCATTTGAGATCATTGCAGGCTTTTGTTCCATAAGACCATTACCAGGTGTTAATGGTGTACCTGGTCCTCCCATAAACTTTGCTGTCATAGGAGATGTAACAGGCTTAACTGGACTGTAGCCACTGAAATTATCATAAAATTAATTATATGATATATATAATAATGCATCGTCTACCCAACGAAAGACGAACGCAACCGTCTGAGTTTGTTATGTTGAATAAAAATGATAAATGAGAAACACGTGAAAAGTCACGTAAATTACGTGACATCATTTTCACGTGACATTATTACATGTGTCTTGCATAATACGTTACGTCGATTTCACGTAACGAACGGAAATTTTATAAAATATATATAAATAGTTAATTCGAATATCTTACCTTGCATTAGGTCCAAAAGGGCTTAACAGACTGTTAGGACTTGTTCCCATTGGAGGACCGACTGGAACCGAATTAGCATTTCCATACGGAGATGATGTTGGTGGAACATCTTGTTTCATCATATGATGAAACGATTCACTTTTATTTCGTTTCAAGACTGTTCCTCCAGCTAAAGGAATACATATGAATTGAGATATCTAGCTATTTGATAACAAACCATGATCATCATTTGGCCGTTTACGATTATTCATGTTCATCTCATTGGGATTGCCCATTGGAGTAGTAAGATCTTGTGGAGGACCTACTGCCCTATATGCTCCATTTGGATGCAAACAAATCTGGAAAAATAAGTAAATGAAGACTTAAAAACCAAAAATTTGTCGTGTTTAAAACATATATGATCGTCTATTTCTCTGCTGCCTCTCTCTTTCAATATCTCACATGCTCTCTTAATTAGTTATTCTTTCGACCCAAATATGTTCATGACGTCAACCTTTTATCTTTTTATTGATTTGAAAAAGAGAGAAACTTACATCGCTTGGTTGAGGTTTCATGCTGTTTGTCTCACGAATAACTTGTCCTATGTAATGATCGACTTCAATATCCTCATAAGTTCCATTAAGACTGGAAAATGCAGAAGCAGATTAAGAAATGTACAATTGACATCATAATTACCTGCAGATAGGACATTCCAATTGGAAGCATTCTGCTTGACTTTGAAGAAGATGATGCAAATCGAAGCAAGCTGTATGACTACAATTTGCGAATCTTGCTGGAATAGCCATTCGTTTGCGGTCAAAAACCAATGAAATGTTAACTCCAGCTGGACTCATTGATTGCATAACTGAAACAAATGATTCTTTACTTTGCCTTATAAAGTCATTATTTACGTTTTCGTTTGAAAAAATCTGCATTGTATCCAGCTCGATTGGCTTTTGTCAACGAATTCTCAACGACGCTATTCAAAGGAATTTGAGCTACAACCCGAATAGAGAAACAGTGACTCTGAAAATTATAGAAAAAAATGAAAAACTTGGATTTTCTATTTCGAAACTTACGCAAATGCATTGGAAAGATTGGAATTCAATCAAATTTCTTCCAAGTTTCACAAGATTCTTCAGTGGAATCGTCTGATTCATAGAAGTAATTTGAATTGGAGTTTCATTCAAACGAATCTGAAAGTGAAGGTTTATGAACGGCTGGGAGTTGATAAGACTAACAGCGACAGTTGGTTCCATGGCTCCAGATTTGCTAAGAGGCCATGATGGGGCCTGTTTCTTAGTATCATCTTTCAAACAGCATTTCAACTGCAATTCCATAGATGCTCCTTGAAGCTTTTTCATCGTTTCAGGCGATATATCGAAGAATTCGTGACAGATGTTCTTATCGTGAGGAAGACAGAATGGGGCCAGTATTTCCTCGACGGCTCGACAAACAAACGTTATTGGGAAACTCATATTTGGGTTCAAACATGAAATAACCTAAATTTTTTATTTTTCAAATAAAAACTTTTGAATTGAGATTTACTTGTTGCTGTTGAATAGGCTGTTGCATTTGGCCAAACAGTTGAGGAGGGCCAGCACGAATCTAAAATAACAGATTAGTTTATTGTCAAAAAGTGTCTCAATTACCATCTGCGTGTTACCCTGTGGGTATCCGGGAGATGTCATGGGCATCATATGACCTCTTGGAGGTCCCATCATTGGCCCTGGGACACCGGGATATGCTGGAGATGGCATTCCAGGTTGGACACGCATGAGCGGCTGAACCTGACCAGGAACACTGAATAACAAAAATATGAAGAGACGAAAGATTGATGAGATTTGAACCTATTGGCTCCCATCGGAACAGAGAACATGGGATCATAGCCACCTGGCCCTTGAGGCATTGGAGGCATGCCTCCACCCATCATTTGTTGTTGTGTTGCTGTCTCATTTGCTGCAGCAACAGCGGCAGCAGCGGCTCTTCGCTTAGCTGCAGATGTCTGAGGAGATTTAAGATAGAAAAAGGTGACGATAGAATAATACAAACCTTCTTTTTTGTCGTTACAGGAGGTTGCGGTGGCTGCGAAAGCTGAGGCTGGGGCATCATTTGTTGTGCAGGCTGAGGAAGTTGAGAAAGAGGCTGATGTTGCATTATTGCCTGATGATGTTGTTGTCTCTGATGCATCATATGCATTTGAGTCTAAAAATATTAGAAGAATTAAAACATTTTTGATGAGCCACCCAAATGAGCAAAACATGACAAGAGCCAGATGTGACATCCGCCATATGACCTAACAATATCCGTTCAGGTCAATGGCTAATCGATGTATGCTCACATAAACAGTCAAAACAGAAATTAAACAAGCTCATATGAGTAGATTCTTTAAGATTTCCAAATGATATGAAATAGAAGCTCTTATCATTTTTTATCGATGATAACAAACGTTATTTGTAATTTCGCAAAGAATTTTCTGAATTTTTCCCTTTTTATGAAGTTACTGATGGAGATGATGGTTGGGAGAGATGGGGGGCAGGAAAGGAGTCACAGAAAGAAATTTGAAGAAAACAAGTTATGCCAGAGGAAAAAAAACAAAAATAAACACATTAAAAGCTTTTCTTTTATCATCTCAACCGCATATGGCTTCCTCTAATTTTTTTTCCAAAAAAATGAGAGAAACTCATAATTTCTTCTATTTTTGGTTGAATCCAATTTCCTTACATCACTTTTAAAAGATAAAATGGGAATGCTATCAGCAACATGGAATAGAACCTCTCAAAATTCATGTTCCTTCGTGAACTAATATATAAACACTTAATTCAACTTTGCTTTCTCTTTCTTACTCTGAACCATTACGGATTCGGGAGTAGAGAACTGAAGTAGAGGACTGGGTGACGGAGACACAATCAGATTCTGCTTCTCATTTGTGTTTTTTATTTTTGATCGACACAAATATTTTTTTTAGCCAAAAACCATGAAATATAGAGTGCTTGAGATGAAAATAAACTCACTGGATCGTACATTCCATTGGGATCTGGACCAGGAGGGTAAGGTCGATTTCCGCTTGGATCCATGGGTGGATAAGCAGATGGTTGCATTCCTTAAATGAAAAAGATTAAAAGATTCCCAAAAGACGAGAAAGGTAGGAAAAAGAGGAAAGTAATCCAACAAAACAAGACATTCTTCAAATGGTTTCTCGCTGTTTTTTTCACTTTATCTCCTCTCGTCTCTCTCTCCTTGGTTTTCCATGACCCTCTCACCCCCTTATTCTCCTTCTCTGTTTTCCTGTCAAATGATTTTATGGTAAACCAGTTTAGTTTTTGGAAGTCAAGAGTGAAAAGAAATTTGTAAGCGGACGTTTTGTAATTCATAAAAAGCAAAAACATACCATATCCATGCATGGGAACCATAGGTCCTGAAGGACCAGGACCAAAAGCAGGACTTTGCATTGGCGATGGACCAGCCATTGGGCCGCCCTGGTTCCACATACTACCACTGAAAAAAGACAAAATTAAAAATTTCGTAATAGGATATAATAAAAAAAAAAGTTAAAAGAAAGAGTGAAATAGGCGGAGCATATGAGCAAATGGGTTGGAAGAGGATAAGATGGAAGAAAGAGAGATCTACATAGCAACCAACAGAAATCTGGTTTATTATACGAACAGATTTGCTCTAAAAAATGAACAAAAAAAAGTCAGAAAAAGATTGATTAGATGTGAGAGAGTAGAACAGAGATAGAGAGAATTACAGAGGAGTAGATAAAAAAAAATAAAATTTTCAGTTTAACTGACAAAAAATTTTTTTTTTGCTCCATCATCTACTTCATCAGGCTTGAGGATTGAAAACGTAGTTTGTTTTTTCGGTAAACATTTCAAAAATAATAAGGAAAGATGAGAAATTAAAGTTCCAAATATTATGAAGAAGAGGTGGTTGAATGAAAGATAAACATATAGAGGGACTGAAAGAGATAGAGAGTAAGAGGAGGTAAAAGCTCCTTGTGTCCTAGCAACGACTGAGAGCCGAGTTTGAAACTCGGATCATGGTAGATTAAGCAGAGAATAGCCTCTATTTGACTAAGAAATATCAAGAGAGAGAGAGTACATCCAGATGATTTTTAATCTCAATATGAGATGTAAGAAGGCAAAAAAGAATCATTTTTACGACTATTCATCTATTTCTTTGTGACGTTTCTTCTAAGCTTACAAATATCAAAAAAAAACTGTCAAAGAGGTGATCTATTCAGGCAATTTGAACAAGAATACGGATGAGATGTGCAATGACAAATTGCAAAATGTGTATTGAAAGCGCAAAAGCTAAAATGGTTCGACAGGTTTTCCACTTTTTTTTTGCCCAAAAAGCTCAAGGAGAACTTTCATGGAATGAAGCTTGTAGCCAGCGGCTATATTTCCATCAAAGGAAATCGCTTACACTTCTGATCCATGAAAAATCAATTGGAAATGCTATCTCGCTTTGCTCTGAAGCTTAACCACATTAATCTGTTTTCCGTTTTTACATGTACCCCGTCCAGTAGTCTCTCCGACATTAACTCTCCTCCCCCCTCCATTCTATCGTTTTCTCTCTGTTTCTCTCTTTAACATTTTTCACTCTCTTATAGTCTCTTCTCCTGTTGACAATGTTAGCAACTTGTTGTCTGTTCTGTACGACTAGGTTGAACATCGTGTTCAACATGAAGAACACTTTTCTGCTTTTGTTGGAAACATATCAATATCTTACTGAGTTCAGTTTCTATTTGGAAGGTGGAAGGTTTGAAGCTTCCACTGAACTTGTAATTTCCTTTTTCAGTTCATTCGCATCCAAATGTTAAAATACAAAGAAAATTCAAAAAAATTGAAGAGAAGCTTGTAAAAAAACTTTCGATGGGATGGGAAGGATGACGAATAGATATTGAAAATGAAAAAAATGGGACAAAAAAGATTTGAGCTTTTACCATACATGGGTAAAGTTGGAAGAATGGGACATTAAACCAACAAGAAGCAGCTCCTTTCGCACGAGCCAAGCAGCCATCAAGCAGCAAAGGAGAGGAAAGACCAAAATGAGTGCAAGAAGAGAGAGGAAAAAGAAGAGAGAGGGAGAGACAGTAGGAGATAGAGAGAAAAGGAGAGAGGATAGCGCTCAACAATTGATTTGGGCCAATGAATATGGCAAAGAGAGAAGGAGAGTTGAGAAGAGACTTGACCATCCTATATAAGACATGACCCAGAATAAAAGATATTTAAGCTGTTTCACACCAAAATGAGGAATTGAATGTGAAAAGAGGAAAAGCTTTACAAATGAAGAAAAGACGGTGTCACTTGACTTCTCCCACATATCATTAGTTTTCATCTTGTTTGTTGAGCAGTCCCAACATTTTTACAATCAGTAGCTCTCACGCCAATAGCCCTGCGGCAGTTTTGTCCTTTTTGGCTTAAGGCCAATGACCTTTTTTAGAACATCATGCTACTATGTGTGTTCGTTTTTGTAAAAAGAGAGAGAAAAAGAGAGAAAGAATATGAGAAGTTTCATGATTTCCAAGGCAGAAGCTCATTGAGTATTTGGTAGACAGGAAAAAAGAAATTTAAGCATTTGCTTCTTTTAAACAACTCGAATTCAATACGAAAACATTGGAATCAGTAGAAACAAGCTGGCAGAAACAACAAAAGATATGAAAAAATAACGATGAAAGAGGAAAAAGAGAGGGACGATAGTCTTTGTAAGAGAACAGCTTACTTTCTCTTACTCTCTCTTTATCTATCCACCCCTCTCTCTTTCTCTCTCTTACTCTTACTCCTTTTCTCTCTCTCTCTATATCTCTCTCTCTTTATATCTATCTATCTATCCTTACATTCTCTCTACCAATGCAAAAATAAAAAAAAATTGTTTTGAATATCTAATGAGCCAATGATGGAGATCAAAAATTATCCAACTTTCTATGGACGACGTACACAAACTGTTTTGCTTTCAATTGCCCTTAGGACATTCTCCATAAAAAAAGACGAAATTTTGGTTACAAAAAAAGTTTTCTCAAAGTAAAAAAAGAAGAAAATTAATTTCATTTAGTTTTAGAGACAACCGTTCAATGAGTATGCAAACTTAATGAAATGACATCAGATGAACTGTTGTCTGCATGTGATCGTGCATTGCATTATATACACGTGAGCGACGAATGACGTGTCAAGTAAATTAACATATCAATAACATTATATGCTAATTAGTATAAGCATTGGCATTTCATATGCTTGGATATATGGAAACGTCAAATATCCATATGAGACACAGCTAGATATGAGACGGAATATCTTATTGGAACAAAAAATATAACGAAGTGACGATGTCCTTTATCCGTCTCTTCTACTTACAATGATCTTTCAGAATATTTTCATTCTACAACTACTTCTTGTCTTTTTGTATTCAATCGCTCTAGCTCTCTCTCTTCTATTTCAATTATATTTTCTAAAGAAGAATTAAAAGAAAACAACAACAAGTACAAAAAAAAGTGTTTCGTGTGTGTTTTCTTTCATTTTCAAATCATTCACTTGTTCTTTCTCTGTACCTCTCTATTTCTTCTTTCATTCACTGTCTCTCTCTCTATCTCTCTTTCTCTCTGTCTCTTCTATTCTCTGATATATCTTATTCGCTATCTCTCTTTTTTTCATTCTTACTATATGTTTTCATCTATACTTCTCACTTTCATGAAAAATCAGATGAGTTAAGAAGAATATTTTGGTGTTTGTCGACTGATAAGCTTCTGCTTATCAACCAACACAAGGAAACATAACTTTTTAGAATACTATGGAATGAAACAACTGCCACTCTTTTTTTGTGGACTTGCAGCCTTCTGATGCTCATCGTCGTCGCGCTTTGTGTTTTTCTGGTTGACGATGTCAGATCAGAAGGCAATAATAAGTCTATTTTGGCCTGACGTTGTGAGACAACATGGAAAAAGCAAAGAAGCCCATGTTTTGCAACCGACTGAATAGTAAAAAAAGAAGAAGAAGACGAAGACACCCAACGACGTCGTCGATGAGGGCGATGAACAGTATCGAATAAGCTTAAGTCTAAGGGATGAATTAGAGTTGGAACTTGACTATCTCTATCTTTCTCTCTCCCTTTTTTTTTGATATTTTATGGATGAACAAAAAACATCTTTTTTTCTTCTGTATAATTGAAACATTGATTTTTTGATGTCTGACACACAAATTTCGCAAAAAGAAAGAGAAACTGTTTGTTATCGAAAGAAGAAAGTGAAGAAAAAAAGAAGGTGGAGAAATAGAACAAGCAATATAAAGACAAATGTGGAAGTTTGGTTTGAGAAAATAAAGAGAGAAAGAGAAGGAGAGAGGTAGAGAGGTATGAGATACAGATAGAGAGAGAGCGAGAGTCGAATGGTATGGATTTTAGATGAAAGAAAAGAAAAAAAAATCAATCACTCACTCATTCACTCGCTCACTCTCATTCACAGATAGAAGTTCTTATGTGTATCTGTGTGTTGACTGGGGCTGTTGGTAAGAAAAACATGAAAGTAGCACATGGGACTGAGTTGGAACAAAATACGTAGAGAGGGTGGAGGAGACTGAACGGAGGGAGTAGAGAATGAAAAGAGTGAGAAAATGAGGGAGGAATGAGAGAAGCGAGAGAAAAAACAGCCAAAACTTTTAAAAAAAATAATTTTTATATAAAACTATATAGAAGGCTAAAGAAGTATTTGAGAAACAACTTATTCGGAACAGATGCCAAAAAGAGACATCAGAGAACAAACGATTGAAATGAATGTACTAACAACAAGAAAATGAAGGATCGCTAACTGTGAAAGAATTTATCAATAAATTTTCATCACCTTTTAGCTGAAGAGAACATTTTTGACTGGCATCTAGCCAACAGACTTTTTTTTTGCCTTTTTCGGCAATCGCAATTGTCAGAAGGAATGGGATGGTTAAATAAAACAATTTTTCAAATGGAACAGAGCAAAACGGTTGAAAACAGTTAAGTGAATTAGATGAGAGAAGAAATTGACTTTGTTCGAAAAACTTTCGAACTCTTCAACTGTTTGGGGGTCCTCATGCTGTACTTCGATGTGGATCAACGGATTATTGTTTGACAGCCAAAAACAGCAAATGGTTGAAGCTGGCCTAATAGTTCCGTTAACTATTAGATTATAATCAAGAAGAAGCGAATACAGTTTCTTCGTGTTCTCTTTTCTTTCTCTCTCTCTCTAATTATGTAGTATGTTTATCTCTGACTCTCTCTATTTCTCTCTTGTTCTAATATTGTGTTTCTCATAAGGCGAGGAGGAGTCTCCACTGTCCGACAGACATAGAGAGCTATGAGGAGGACGACCCCGAAACACAGAGAGATAGAGAGAAGGAACGATGAGGGAGGTAAAATGAAATAGAGAGATAGAAAGAGAGAGGTATGTTAGAGGAGAGTTGGTTGTTTTGGTGGAGGCTAAGACATTCAGAATATAATGAAGATAGAAGAGAGCATCACTGACTTCCATT